GCTAGGGGCAAAAAAAACTTTGCCCGTAAAATGACATCATCGCTCAAGGCACTAGCGGGCCAGAAGCGAGGCTAAGGACGAGACGGGATAGCAAGGAGGTTTTTCTAGAAGAGATACAAACTTATATAATTAACCACAGTAAGACTATCTTCAAAATTAAATATGAATATCAAGAATATCATTTCCTTTGAATCTTTTTGAGGGGGCATTGCCCCAGATGCCCATTAGCAAGAGCCGCCACTGCTTATTGGGTAAAATCACACCACCCTCTATGTCCCGTCAAAATTTGAAGTCTTCAACGCCAATGCTAACACTTAAGCCCGGTGGGTCATCTCACACTACCAAAGGAAAGCACACGTGTCTGAGGGTCTAGAAAACTGACCCTTATCTCTGATATTTGATTCCAATTTGATTCCTCTTTTCTCTGAGACCAAGAAAATTTATACCCTTTTCTTGAGATCAAATTGTTTAAATGAGTTTAAAAAGAAAGGCTACTTTTTTAGGACAATGGTTCTTATACTACCGTTGTTGTTGGCAAGGACCGAGATACAACTTTTTGTTGGGGGGGGGCCAGAAGGGCCGACACGAAAGGGGGCGTGAGGGGTGCGAGACACCCTTGCAAAAAATCATATTTCAAAAGCGTAGAAGTTTTGTCATCAAGGGATGCCTGGTCGGCAAATTTTCAAACCTGTTGGCAAATTAATGATTAATTTTCGGCAAATTTGACGGTCCGGGGGGATCCCTGCTGAATATATATAACAATAGCTGTCACCGGCAGTGCCAAACCAAATTAATTTTGGTTGTGAGAAAAGTTTTATTACTGAAAAAATTTTTATTTTAAAGAGGTTAAATGATCACACATTTTAAGATCATTAAATGTGACGAACTAAGGCAGCAACAACTGGATTCCTTATCTGCAAAACCAAAAAATCTAAAACATTAATATCATTAATATCTGCTTAACTATGTAGTAATCTTTTCAACAAAACAACAAAAAGATTGATGATTAATAAGTAACCTCACCGACTTCCAACAAAACAAATTTTAACAAACAACAATTTTTTTAAAAATAAGTGGCAAAAGAGCTATTTCTTATAAGAAGCTACATAATTGTATTTGTACTGAGAATTTCAAAGAAATATCAGATTTAAACAAAGATATGACATTAGATTTCTTAGACTATCTACGACAAAAAGTCTCTAAAATGATTTGTTCTTAGTATTGGAGTTTATAAGTGGTTTCTGTTTGATTTTTGTCATTTTTCTCGTTCACTAGGCAAAGGCCTAAAACGCTATTGCGTGTAGAAACTGCAATTATATTCCCATCTCCCTGATCCTTACTTGATTCGATCAGTCCATTGTTATCTTGATTATTTCATAACTTGCTGGAAACAGCAGTTCTTTCTCGCTGCTTTTTAAAAAATAGTTCAAAGTTCCTTTCCCTAACTTTGACGTGGTGGCCATTTAGGCAACGATTCGGAAAGGGAAGTGATTTCCCGCCAAAATACGGTAAATAGCAACAGCAAGAAAACTCTAGTTCATGCAATCCAAGTAATACGTGTTGACAATTATCCTGCAGAGTTTAAAGTGTCAGAGACGCAGGTACACTAAAGCCTGGTTTTCATATATCGTAACCCGTCGGCGATGATCCCCGATGCACAGCATTCCTGATGGTCAGGGACCATCCCCGACGGTCGGGGATCATCCCCGATGGTCGGGGACGATCCCTGATGCTATAAACAATATTGAAGCGCCAAAACTATAATTTTGATGAGAGTTTGGGAATATGGCTGCTGATATATGAACTCACTTTTGACAAAACATTCCTGATCCATTGTACTCTTTACTATTGTTCGTCGGGAAGCGTCGGGTAAAGGCTGGTTTTCATATAACGCAATTCGTCGGCGATGATCCCCGACGCAGCTTCCCGATGGTCTATGACAGTCTGCGATGGTTTATGACATATGAAAACCGGGTCATCGGGAACCATCGGCGATCATCCCCGATCATCGCAAAAGTCAATATTGTTTATAGCATCGGGGATCGTCCTCGACCATCAGGCTGCTGTGCATCGGGATCATCGCCGACGGGTTACGATATATAAAAACCAGGCTTAAGTCAAACTATTTTGACTTTTGCGATGATCGGGGATGATCGCCGATGGTTCCCGATGACCCGGTTTTCATAGGGGGCATATAGGGGGCAGGGCCCCCCGGCCCCCCTTTATCTCGGTCCTTAGGTTGGCTTTTTCTCAACAGTAGAGTAAAGTGGCATGCTCCGACAGGACATGAATTGGGAATTAAAGCGTCCCTTCCCTCCACTAGCTTACAGGTCCGGCCTGACCCGACTTGTACCACCTGACAGGGTTCCCTAGCTCAGGGCTACGAGCGATGGCCAACGGCTAACTCAGCGGGAGACCGGCAAGGAGGGCGGAGGAGCTAAGACTTGAGGGGTCAACGGCTTCGGGCGGAAGAACTCCTGGAAAGAGGGATGGTGTCCCTTTAAAAACACTGTAGAGGTGGTTCTGGGGGCCCATCTCTACTATTAGCCCCTTAGTTTTATCTAGGACCATGACAACAAACCAAAACTCAGATTTTGGGATAGTTGGAGGGTCATGGTAGCCAGTGGTGTAGAGCTATCAAAATATCAGGAGAGGGGCCTCTTGCACAAAATGTTGCGAAAAACAATGACAAAAGTAGAAATTTGCCAATTCTCGGTTTTAACAAGAGGGGCTTAGCCCTTCCAAGCCTTCTTAGCCCCCATGAGCCCTAAAACAAAAACAGGCTGAAATGTATCCGTTTTCAAAGTGTGTTAATGGAAACGCCAGTTTACTCGTTTCTACTAAGCTGGGTTGAAATGTATCCAGATTGAAATTCCACTTTTCAGGTAAATCAGATTTAGAGAATTTAAAACAGAAACCAAAGCACTCAGAGCTGTGAGAGGAATAGTAGCTTGCAGCAAAAGTCCTGGAATTCATTGAAAAACGCTTTTGGTGTTAGTTGGCCAAAGCTTATCCTTATCGGGTTTGGCGTGTCCACTAACCAGGCCTTATTTTAAGGCTCAGGTGATAACCAATTTTCGCAGTGATAAGTCCAAAATGGCCATGATAAATGGAAAATTGTGCAGTGATACAGTAAATTAGTTGAAACAGCAACATAAAGAATTCAAAGGACAAAAAGTAACAAAAAATAAACAAACAGAACATAACGGTAATAGTATGAAAAGCGAAGCAAACAAATCAACACTTTCTGGTGTATAATAGTTCACAGTTACTATGTTTTAAAAACGTTTTCTCATATCCTTTTCTGCGTCTTTTCTCTCCCTTTCTTTGATCATTTCACTGCTCCAAAATACTTAATATGGACTTGATTGAGGCAGTATTCCCTTCATGCAGAGGGTAAAAAGAGTCATGATGGTATTAAAAACATTCACTCAAATTTAGCGGCACGTGAGAACATTTTGCTGACTGTCATTTTCTGCTAGTGGGTTGGTTACCCAGGGATATTCTGCTAGTGGGTTGGCTATATCTGTATTTCTTGTGCTTTTATATCATCGTACAGAAAGATAATTTTCAGGATCTTAAGCCATTTTAAGGCCTCAGAGATTGCAAAATCTAATGAGCTTCCGGGGGCTCTGCCCCCTGAACCCCTGCCAGGGCTCTGTCCTGGACCCACTGTAGGGTTTACAACGCCCCCCCCAGATCCCCGGTTATTGCATGCGTGCCTCTGACACGCACTTTGGACAGCCTACCTCTAGAGGTAATCTTTTTATCTAAATCAGATATGTGTTAAAAAACAAGACAGTGTTGGGTATACAGTGAATTCTCATTCCAAACAAAACAATTACAATACTTTAAGCTACAAACAACAATAAGCTACAATAATCAGCATTAACAAATTAATTAATTATTAGTAGAATATTGTAATAATGGGCAGGAAGAGGTAGCTTAGTCACATGTAGAAGTTGAGTGGAGGGTGGGAATTACGAACTCTCGAGCCACATTTATGTTGCAAGTGAGTGTATTAGGAGATACCCTTAGATATACCCTTAGTGAAATTACCCTTATGTGGCAAAAGGATGCTAAACCCAAACGTACCTGTATGCTGATAGGCTTAGAAGACTATGCATCATACCTGACTCACTCTGAGTAATGGAGGTATGAGGAACTAAGGCCCTATTGACGTAAAGGCACTATTGCTAATAGGCATGTGACTTAAGCATGCAATATTCACTCTATACCCAACACTTCCTGATTTAGACTAACATTTAAAACTAAATGTACACAAAACCACCCTGATTGTGCAGTGATAAAATTTCCTAAAATAAGGCCTGCCACTAACCCATAGGTGAGTAACAAGATTTCTTGGTTAAAACTCCGAGACCCGTATTTAAAATTATCAGTTTTACAAGTGGTTAGTGGGAACGCAACGCAGAAAGGGAGAATGGCTCCGTGATTATGGTCGTGAAATACAGGTCCAAGTGTCTATGGTTCGATTTCCTGACACGACAAAACTGTCTCTCTGTAGTTCCAGGTGTAGGTACGTTAAAACGTGCCAAACAATTTCATCACGTTTGTGATAATTTCACCAGGTTTCGCTGGTTTTTATCGCAAATACAGTGCAATAACACTTTTACGATATAAAAACTTTGTCCCTTCTTGAATACTTCCTGTATAACGTACCCTCACTATAACGAACCTCCACTACAACGAACCGCCGCTATGGCGAGCTTTTTTGTTGGTCCGTGCAGAAACGGCGGGGGATGGGAGCGTACAGGGGCGGTTGCCCAATTGCCCTCGCAAATTTTTTCACTTTGCTTTTGTTTTGGCCTTTTTCTTAACGCTTCCCCCCTGCCTTGCAGCTCTTCCGGCGTCCCTTGACGAGCCCCTCAGTACAGTATAAACTGCAAGCGTTCATCGTTACCCCCCTCCACATAAAATTTGCTGCCGCGTGTATGGTCGCGCAAACAATGGTTAGCATATGCAATTCTTTTGCCAGCACATGTACAGCTGCGGGATCCATGTCCCCCAAATGTCCTTATATAGGCCGGTTGACATTAAGCCATACGTCAACAACAGCCGGTTTACTGACGCGTGATGTAAAAGTAAACCAGTTGTCCACAAAAACACTTGGTTTTTAGGTTGGCTAAGAGATTGACTGTACACTCGTCCAAATCAGAAATGGCGAAATCAATCGCAAAAGTTCTCATAACACTTGTGTTTTTTATCGGTATTTCGCAAGCCATGATGGTGAAATACAAGGACTGCGGTGAGTTGAATTTCTTCTTTTTTTATTATCAGCTTTTTTAACAAAGTGAAGCAAATTTTTTTTAAAAATAAAACTTATCTATTCTTTTCCAAAAGCCGGCATTTGTTGACATGCAGGCCAAATTTGAATAAAAGGAAGCACATTGCAGAAGAAGACCACCACCCACTTCCCGGAGCAACTATGGCCTATTGTCGATTCTGTATCCGTCCCATTTTGGCACTATTGCGCAATCAACCGATAAGTACAGTAGACTTGAAAAAACACTACCAAGTTCTGCTATTCTGCACATTATTGTGAGTGGTTTGTGGAGCCGGGGCACATGCTTCCTCCAATTTCTAAAACAATGCTTGCTAATTGGGTGGGACTCCATTTTTCTTGAAACCACTTTACATTACTGCACCTTTGCAGTAATACTATACTGCAAAACTATAAAACTATACTGCACCATTGGAAATATTTTGCTCTCTATGAGTAAATTATTCTAAAAATAATTTATGCTTTGAATTCTCTATTCTCTGATACAAATTCAAACTCAAACATTTTATTCACAGCAATAATTAACTACTACATTTATATCTAATACATGAACCACAAACAACAATTTTTTTACAAAAAGAAAAACTACATACAGTAGGTAGTTTGAAGTTTACTATGTTTGCTGATGCAAGTTTGTCATGTGATCCAAGGAGCTTGAATGCCATTGCATAAAATTTTTGTCAATGGTCCCTGTATTTGATATTTTGTTTTAACTTTAAGACAAATTATGCACAGGAGAAATTTCTTTAATCACAATTTTGTTTATCAGTCAGATGTTTACTATATGGTAACATATTGACTGCCCTGTACTGGACTGTGCTTTTCAACTTTAACTGGTAGCTTTTCAAAATTTTCACAACACCAACCCACCATTGCATACTTTTTTGCAGGCTCAAAAAGCATTATTTCTGAGGTTGATGTTAGCCCCTGCACTTCCCAACCGTGTGTTTTGATAAAAGGCAGCAATGAAACAATTGATGTCCATTTCACCCCAGGTTTGTATAGATATGACTTTGATTTTTATCTGTCAACCTGTCAACCTGTCAATCTTTTTAGACCTGTCAACTATCCTGATTTTGCTGGGAGGTTCCAGGTTTTGCTTGCTTTATCCCGGTCTCCTAGTTTTTTTCCGATTTTCTCCCTGTATTTCTAGTCTTTCAGCAGAGGTTTTCTTAAAACAAAAATGATTGAAATGACTTTCTCCGTGACAAAGTTTTTTGGTAGTGTTTACAAATTAATGAAAACATTAAAAACCATTAGCAAGACCCTACCCACGATAATTGTTGTCATTAACTGTTTTTCCAACATGACTTTTTTTGACAGATGTTGTTTATAAATTCAACAAATTCTAGGGATCTCCCTGTTTTTAGCCAAATCTCTTGTTTTTCTCAACAAAAATCTGAAATCTCCAGTTGCCACAAGGCATGTCACAGTCTTGATCTTTGGCAACATTGTTCCAAAACCTTTCTGTTCAGAGATGGAAAGTTTGTGAAGCCATTTAGTAGCTTTGCAGAAAACTTGCTTGTGTACAAAGAAGAAAAGGAAAGAAAGGAGTGAGATACAGAGTCAAAATTTAAAAGTCCAGTTAATTATAAAAATTCCCTTCCCCATTAAAGTTTCCACCAAAAATATGCATCCTTTTTTGGCTGGTCTGTGGAAACAATATACTGAATAAAATCGTGTGATACATAAAAGGCAGAATTTGAGTTTCACATTACTTCACAAGAAGATAACCTTTTTTCCACAGCTGTTCTGTCATTAAAGAATTAAACTGTACATCAAGTATAATGAGGATATAATGGTAGTTTTGTCTTTTTATTTATACATCAGCTATCAAACCTACATTTACTAAACTGCTGCATCTCAAATGTGGATTCAATCTGGTCAATTTGATGGCTTCATAATAGCACAAAATGTCTTTGCATGCCTTTCCAACAAAAACAGCTCCTTCATACATACCTAACTGTGAGAGCTCTTCCTCTGCCAATATGTGAATACCTTAAGGAAAAAAAATGGCAAATTTAACAGGTTTAAATATGTAAACTTTGATTTAGAAAAAAGCATACATGAGAGTGTCCCTAAATTTTCTCATTTTCTGACAAAATCTATAGATGCTTACGAGAAAAAGAAAGGTGTTGGGTGAGGTCTTTTGATTTTTAAACTAAAAGGTTTGCGACAAACCCCACTTCCCCTGCCTCCCAAAGAACAATGAACTATGCCCCCTTAAAGAACTATGCCTTGTCTTGCACAGATTTTGTATTGCGTGTCACTTTATGTTCATTGACTGTCTGATAACCAGGTCTATCTGATGCCATCATGAAAACAGGGGTGTCTAAGTCACACCCAATATACATTCATTCAAAGCCTCAGTCCCCAAAGCAAGAAAATTAAGAAACAATTGAATACTGAAAAACTGAGAGCTCAAATTTTTTTTAAATCTATCAATCTGATTGGCTTGTGAGCATAAAACTTAATACACTTCCCTTATCTAAGTACAGCATTTGCATAATAGCAACATTTTTTGAGAGAAAAGTGATGTGCATTTGAAAAGATATAAAAATTGGTGAAACTCCCAGTTTGCAGCGGTGAAACCCCTCCTCCTCAAGTTTCAGCTGAAAAAAATTGTTAAAACTTTAAATTAAAATCAAGTCAAATTTTAAGATTTAATGACTTCAAAGTAAAGAGACTTACAAGTATCACTGTTTATTAAAAACTTTCTGAAGCTTTGTAAGAAACTGGAGTATGTAGCATTGACCTTTGTTTCTTATAAAAAATGAGTGTGTGGAGGAATGCTTGTGTTTACATAGATATCCTATACAAGTCACTAATGATGTTTTGATTCTAAACATGTAGAACACATAGAATTTTGCCATAAGAAGATGTCAAGAATATTTGATAAGGTTTGAACTTGAGACAATGATATGTAAGATTCTTTGTCTACACAGAAAAAGACATCAAAAGTGTTGCAGTGAATCTCCAGGGCATCATCGGTGGTGTGCCCCTGCCATTTCCAGTCCCACACCCAGACGCATGCAGCTGGCCAGGCAGTGGTTTGAAATGCCCTTTGAAGAAAGGACAGCAGCAGCATTACACAATGCAATTGCCTGTCAGACACTCCTATCCATCGGTAATGTTTCCTCTTTTTTTTGAGCAAACAATCTATTCTCATCTTTTTATATCATATAGCACATATTTTTCCAGAGTTCTTTGGGTTCCTTTAAACTGTTTCTCAATATATTAACCCAAGGGTATGCTCAGCCGTGCCAGGGGAGGGGGCAGGTGCAGATTGCCCTAGGCCCCTTAACAAGAGGGTCCCATAACAGCGTGTGCAGAAGATTTTTCGACATTTAAAAACAGTACACTTACAAAATCACTTTCTGTTTTTGAAAATAGCAGCCAATGAAAATTTCTCAGTATGTTAATTTCAGTATGTGATAATTCATTCACATTCGTTTACTCCTCAACCAATTACAATTGAGGCATCACATCATAACATCAGCGGCAAGCTGCAAAAGTGCTTCATGCTGAGCATAGTCATTCTGAAATACTTGAAAAAGTATTCCCTTTCAAAAAGCATATATCTTTAAAAAGAAGATGGAATTCTCCCTTGTGCTTTTTTTCTTGAAAATCTTTTTTTATTCACAATATCTTCTGGTATATAATTCTTTCTTCGTTCATATTAAAATCTTCTTTTCAAGAAGAATAAAAGTTGCCTTCTTTCTCCTTTTCAACAAAGGCGGCCAAAGAAATTGAAATTGCTAGGCAACAATGTTCTGTGCCATTTACCGTTCCACATTACCCTTTTCCATCTATACTGTAAAGTGGATGTCCACCTGAGCAACAATAAAAACAATCACAGATTTAATGAAAGCATCACAGGTCCCATCTTTTTCTCTCTTGGCAAGCATGGGCTTTGGCACAAGTTTGAAGTCGAGGGGGGGGGGGTAGGGTTGCAAGGTCAAATTAAAAAGCTTTAGCAGAAAAGCAATTTTGTTTTCCAATAAAGTTGTGCTGGGGACCCTGCAAGTGGTGCTGGTTGTATTAAAAACATACAGAACAGAAGAGATCATGCAATTTTTTATATATTAATGAGTACAACACACCCTGTGGTTTGTCTGGGGTAGCAACGGCCAGAATTACTAATTTTCTGACATAATTTTATAAAAGCATAAGCAAAAGCATCTGTCGCTTACGCTTGCGCTGGAACAAATCATGTTGCAAAGTGACAGGCTGAAAGCTGCGGGATTTCATTTTTAAATAGCACTTTTAGGGCTCGAGATTAGGCTATGCGCGGAATTCACACGAAAGTCCATGTTCCAACTGCTCGGATTAATCTAAATTTGCAAAAAATGCGCTGACGGGATTTGAGCAAAAAATTATTGCGCGGGGAACGCGTTCCCCGCGCATACCCAAACTTTGCAGTCTGGGTGCCTGTTACAACAAATCCCAGGTGTCTTGCCCCTCCCTTCTCGCCATTTTATAAAGATGCTTTTCTTTATTTATTTGTTGATTGACCTTTTGATTATCTGACCTGGCTGTTGTCCTTGTGAAAACGGGGTGTCTTAGACAAATCCAAGATTTCTTGGCCCTTTCTCAGGTGCATCAACATTTAATTGCTGGAACTAGGGTAAGTTTTTCTTGCGTCTATGACTTAATTATTTCAGGTCTACGAAGTTTTACGAAATTTGTTACAAATGCTTTCAATATCCTTGGGTGTGCAGCAGACTCAAATGTTTGTTCTAGGTTTTCCATAATTTATTATAGGTCCAAAATTTTCGGTCTGAGTTCAAGATCCTGTTACGAAAATTCTGACCCCAAGAGGAGAACTCTTCTGGAAGAAAGAACTTATGCATGTCTTACTCTTTGTATTGGCAGTCATAGGGGAGGCTAATAATTCTTGCTTACCTTTACTGAGATTGAAAATCACTGTGATCAGCCTTTTGCTATCCTTCTTCGGAGCGTCTCTCTTCCCGTTTACCTAGTCAGCCAACTTGTCATGAGTGAAATTGGACCTCATAGAGCACTATAGGGCCATAGACTCACCTCACTGACGACTGGACTTTCACCCGGTCGTACGATCGATAGGTCGGCCTCCTCTTTTATCCTTTGTTCTTTTTTGTTTTTTTACGATCTTCTACAAAAGCCCCTTGCCTGTTTGAAGAGTAGCTTGAAACAAAATTAAAGTTACAGGTCTTAAACTCTTACTGCTCGCCCAACTCAGAAACAAAAATTTTTGTAAATCTGGTTATAAATTGTTTTTACTCAAACGAACATTCCCTCCCAGTAGCGAGGGGGTGTTGTCTTGTACAGAGGCAAAGAGACATCGTGAGAAATTATTGTTTCCAGGAGGGTCATTTGAACTTTTTTACACGGTGTGGAGGGGGGGGGGGGTTGAGGGGGTGTCGGGTACATCTGACAATTATAGGTTACGAATTTATTTGTGACCCGATACTTCAGTGAACCTGATTTAGAGAGATTATGTCTATTTATTCATGTTATACACTCTTGTTTATAAGAACCAGTAAGTTTAAGTTCAGGCCGACTGTTCTCAATTTCCAAAATCTGAGGCTGAATTGTTCTTAGTTTGTTCTTAAATCAATATGGTAGAAGCACTGCGATTGCTAGCTTTTTCGCTCTAGGGAGGTTTTCAGGCCCTATTGAGACAACCTTCAAGCTGTTCGAATATTCACCGAAAAAGCCCCCACCAGAAATGGCTAAAATTCATCGTTTTTAAGATAAAATGTTGTTCAAAACTGCATTTTACAGTAGCTCAGCCTGAACTTGTTCTTAATTTGTTCTTAACTTTTGACCAATTTTGAGGCTCGTGTTCTTATAAAATTGTTCTAATAAAAAAGAGTTTAGTACAGCAACATTGGTTACTACGTAGTAACGGCGCCAGCTACTGCAGAGTAGGAGGGAAATGGGTGTGACCAGGGAGACCACGCCCATTTTGTGTGGCTCAGTGCTGTGTTTAGTACCAGGCTAATTTTCCTTAGATGATTTACCCCTATCGAGCGCTCTTTAATCAATTTCTAGCAGAAACGTGTGGACCATGTTTTGACAAAAGTAACTACCTCCCATACCCCCTTGGCATCGCCACTGTTACTATCTACACCCTTGATCAGTACTTTGTCCCGAAGTCACTTTCAAAGCTGCAGCTCCTCAGAAATAGATGGAACTTGGCCAAGTTGCTAGATTTGAGATCTCTTGCATTTTTGGGATCGTGCGATGTGTTTTCCTGTTTTTGCACCCGTGAGGGAGACTAGACCAGGTTAATTTTGAGGTTAACTTATGCTACTTAAGTTATTTTAATACCCCCCCCCCGGCCCCCGGTATCTCGGTCCTTGGTATCAGCTATATACAAGTCATTTCATCCTTCACATTTATTGAAAAAATGGATAGCAACATCGTCAAGGTTCAGAAAGAAGAGCATTCGAACCCTTTTGACGAGTTTGAGGCTTGTGTTCTCATAAAATTATTCTAATAAAGAGTGTAGTTCTTCCGTTACTGTTAGCAGTTCTTTTTTATAGTCGTGACAAATCGCGTCGCGTATTGGTTGGTGTTTCTAAGTGTGGAGTCTTTTAAGACTTGCAAATAATATGGGGCGTGGCTTTAAATTAAGAATTTAGCCACACCCTTATCCCAACTACGCCCTAAAGCCACACCCTATTGTCGGCAAATCTAAATTTTGTGCCCCTCCCCCAAAAAATTGTTTTGTGGCTCCAAGGATTAAATGCCGTGAAGCGCCATGAGATGTGAGACTTGACCCTTCTGCGAACGTGCATATCACCCACTTTCTCATTGGTCCAGACGAATGGATAGAATAATAGCCCTAAACAATAGAAATCCCAACAAGACAAGTTTGAAAAATTCGCCTTGACTTCCCCCGTGTCATCGATTATATTCTCATTGAAAATACACTCGTCCGCCGAAGGAACTACTAGCCTTTGCAGGAAAGTTGAGAAACCCTCAATTCAGAATCTACAATCTTAAAACTGTTTACGGCTTGTCATTTTTGTTTTTTGTTATCATTGCTATAAAACATTGAACTTAAACTGCTATTCTTGAGTGTCAGTTCCGGAAAATATTCGTTTCACGATTCTTTAGAAAAAGTGAGCCCGAACCTGTGTCTCCCTCTCACCACAGAATTTGTATCCAGATTGTAGATGAGAGGCTGCCTCCTTTCGGTTAAAAGTAACAACTCACTTTTCTTTTTGTAGCTGAAGCTGCTTGCAAAGTTGTCTTTGGTGGACCAGACAAAGAGTGCATTAGTTTGCGTCGAGATTGCTCTCCAAATTAAATAAGCTTCCAAAAAGAGCTTGAAATAAAACGTTTATGATTGATGATGAAATATAAAATGATTTTACAACGTAGCAGAAATATATCAGAAACTTGATTGTTGCAACTAATGATCCTGAGATTCGACGGTTTGCAAGAGTCAGCATATACACAAATGAAGTTTGAAAGATTATTGTGAATTTTGGTAGACTAGATTTTTATCAGCAACCAGTGTTCTTCGCAACAGTCAGTATTTTCTTTAGACGTTGAAGCTTTTGATTAGCAATAAATTTTACTTTTCCTATTTTCTTGCGCCCTTGCTAATTATCTTCCAACATTTTGCTTTTTTTTTCTGACGTCATACTCTCTATCTTTTTCTTGCCTTTAACATATTATTTTTAATATAATTTCTTGTCCTATACTGTTTGATTTGTCACACACTTTTCAAAGTCGCACATATATTAAATGTTGATTAACCTTAAAGAAATTATTATTTGATAAATTCGTTTGACCATCACATTCTTCGCCTTGATTGGAACCATCTGCCCTGTGGCTCGACCATAGACACAGATGTGGCTGGACATGCGTTTTTTTTCTTTGAAAATAGTGTTTTATTCGGATAATGAGTTGATCCAATGCACACAACTTTTAAGCAATACGATTTTTATGAGAACCAGATTATCTGCCGAGGCTCGTTGTTTTTATTTTTAGATAATTTGTGGTACGGGGCTACCGTAATCGTTCGAATATGCGCCCCTCTCAAATAAGCGCCCCTGTCAAATTAGTGCCCCCTGTCAAATAAGCGCCACTCTTTTAAGAAAATAATTTTACAAGCGCCCCTCTCGAATAAGCGCCCCCTTGTTCTAGGGTGGGCACTTATTCGAATTCATATTCAAAAATCTTGCGTTTCGTATGCATTATCGTGTTCGACCGATGGGAGCCAGGATAATGAGATCACCTGCTTCAAAGAAGGTCAGCCTTGTAGCGCCTGTCCTAAGGAATTAATCGTCGATGAAGACCATGAAAGTGCCGAAGATATTGATATTTTGTAGAGTACTAACAATTAATTTTTTATGGGGTATTTACGTGTTTGACTTTTGTTCTCCTGAAAAAGAGAGCTGAACTTTGAATCTCTAATCCTTATTTTTAAAGAAATATTTTATAAGCGCCCTTTTCGAATAAGCGCCCATCTCGAATAATCGCCACCCCCCCTTAACAGCAGAAGAATTAAATAAGCGCCCGGGCGCTTTTTCGAACGATTACGGTATTCCAGCATTGATTTTTTGAAAATTACATACTACTACGTACATAATTGTTTATGTGATATGGTATTTCGTGCATATGGTTTGGTTTAATCGGGGAAAGCTCGGGTATCCACTGTGTTACCGTTTTGTTCTTGTTGGAAGATGTCTCAGTCTTTACTTAGGAACTTTAGAAATACGAACTAAGGTCATTACGAGATGAGGCCTATCTGCAATCGTTTGCGTAAGGAGCAGGGGCGTCGTGGCCGGGGGGGGGGGCAGAAGGCCGTGGCCCCCTTTGCTTTAAAAATTTGACGGATTTTTGGAAAAATCATTGTTTTGTCGGAAAATCAAGCTTGAGCTGTTAGTAATTCTCAAACTTTTAGTAACATGAATTACTTGGACTAAAGTACTTACCGTAATTTCGCGAGGCAATTCATTTTTGTAAAGAAAATACTAGATTTCCAAAAATCAAAATGATTTCTCAGGATTTACCGATTCCTACCATAGAGTGATTTGCTGCTCGGATTTTGTCAATTAAAATCCGAATCCTCAAGGGCCAAATTTGTTTTTAGAAATTGGTAAATATTAGTCACTAATTATATCTTCATTTGCTATTGAAGACCGGAATAGTGCCAATTTTATGCCTATCGTCAGATTTTTAAAAATTTTGTCCCAAATTTGAAAATTTATGCAGTTATGTTGCGTAAGGTAAAACAAGGAAAAGGTCGATCTAGACTATCGCTTTCCACAAGTGGATATTTTATTTACAAATAAGATTTTGTCTTTAAAATTTGCTTCAAAGAATGCACTTTCCGGCGAATTCGAAGCATTCGATAATAAAATATTTTCCCCTTCGGCGGCAACCATGGTGCCGCCTCAGGTAGTAACTTAATTCTACCCTCGTCCTGATTTACGGATGCCAGTGACGTTCACTGTAAAAGTACGAAAGAAACAGAGACAAGATAAAAAGTGCACTTTTAAATATCTTTGCAGCTAAGGCAAAAGTTGTAAGTTTTTTTACCCCCCCCCCCCCTTGCACTTCCATGAAATGCTTTTATTTTATTTAAATAAATCAAAGAAATTTTGTCGGAAAATTTTGTTCCTGCCCCCCTCTAGAATTCATTCGCCACGACGCCTCTGATAATGAGCATGCGCAGTACGGATGTCTGAGCGGCGAAATGCTCAAATTTTATATGAGAAGGGATTTAGATCATTGCTATCAATCGTACCACATGCTATCTTAGTATCCAAAATAATGACAAAATGAGAAAAAATTAGAGACAAATATCAGTTTTAAGGTCGGAAAAAGAATGATCGATTCCTGGTCAGAATGTGATCTCCATTAAAGTTCAAGTTCGTTTCCTGTATATTTTCTGATCTTATGAAGAGATTTGATACCATGAAAGCTTAATCGAAAATTGCAGTTTTAATGGATTTTCTAAAAGTGCCTTGAGCTGGCTCCAATCGGAACCTTTGCTTTCTCTAAGATTCTTAAATTTCACTTGTTTTCCAATGATGCAAGCATTTTCTATGCCCATAGAAATGTATTTCTCTTGGAATAAGTAGTGAAATCTAAATTACAGAAAGTTTCTGACTGGCTCATAGCAAAAAAGCTTACTAAATATACAAGTAAATTAGATTTTTTTGATTATTTAACGAAAGCAAGGAAACTTCGATCAAAATATCAAAAGTTCTACGGATAAAGAGCTTTCAGCAGAAGAAACATGAAAGTATTTATAGATTAAAATCATCCTTGGTCATATGATACCCAATAAATCCAAAATCTTCAAGACCCAGAATATTTTAGCAATTGGGCAGCACTACATGAGAAAGCAGGTCCTCAAAAACATACACAATGTATTTGTAATGGCATACCGTAAACTTTGAGATGTCCCAGGGAAACTTATTTATTTTTTCAGTCCTAGAGGGGGGTTTGAAAGAGAGGGGGCTTATTAAAATGTTATGTTATAAACAGGTGCGTGCCGATGTGTGTCACACCCCCCCCCCACTTTTTGTAGAAGCCATCGGTAAGTTTTTGCCTGTTGGTAAAAGTTTACACAACTATAACAGTGTGTCGGTATTTAGATTACGTCTGCCTTTTCGATTACCTATTTAGATTACGTTTAGATTACGTATTTAGATTACGTCTGCCTATTAGAATTAGATTACGACTGCCTTTTCGCATAGAAAGTGCTGTTGACCGTTTAGTTTTTACATATAAATTGTTGCAAACCAAACAGCTGGTTTTAAATTTTAATTGCACAAAAAGATTTAAAGAGCCACTCATCAACTGACAGGAAGTGAAATCTATTTGTTTGTAACCCTGTCGGTAAATTTCTCATGTTACACCCCCCATTCAAAAGCCCCTCGGCACGCCACTGGTTATAAAAAAATTTACAAAAATGTTCTTATGAATTTTTTAGTTATAAAACGTCATACAAGTGTTAGCAGCTGCGAAAGTTTATTGAAATTTATCAATTATAATGTCCTCATCAGATTCACCAGGATCAATTGATAGCCGTGAGACGTCTTCTAAAAAAATTCAATTTCTTCGAAAGAATCGACATCAGTATCCTCTTGACTTCTAATGCACATGATCTTATCATCATCCTATCCATCAAGAGACCAACTCGATGCGCATGTTTTCTTTGTTTAGCATCAGGGGCCAAAGAAGGGGGACTTAATAGAGAGTGGGGCTTATTTTAGATTTTGTCCTTGGTAAGGGAGGTCTAATAGAGAGGGGGACTTAAAGAGCTTTTATGATACATTAATTAAGGATCAACGACCTGGGGAGCTGCTTGTGTTTATTTTACCATGGCTCTAAGGCATAAAATTTAACAATCATTAAGGCTTTGGCCGTCAAGAAAAGCTCGGTACATAATTTAAACACACAAAAGGCTTCTTTTCGTACTTTTCCTCAACCAACAGCTAAAACTAAATACAAAACGAAACAAGCACCGGGGGCATTCTTTGTTAAAAAAATCCAAAAATGGCTAATAGATTCTTATATTATATTTTTCCTCACAACTCACAATATATATTACATTTCTGTTGTATTTCTTCTGCTTAGGCCCATCGTTTGTCTTGTTATCGCTTCAATATTGAATTTGAACTGAAAAATGTGCATTTTTTAAATGTTTCCAAACCAGAATAAAACGCTCTGTCTGTTTTCCTAATTTTCTGATTTTTTTTTAACTTTTTAAGCTTGCTTTTTTTATTGACTGTAATCTATAGGAGTCTTATTTCGACAACGCCTGTTAACTTTTTTGGAGCTGCAATTTCTCAAATGACCATACCCTCTTGTTTTTATGAAACACCAAAACTGAGCAATTATATAATGTTCCTAACATTCAAAGGGGGTTTGACATGAACGTAAGATAATAGGAGCTTCTTTGGCTATTTAAAGTTTGGGGTAATAGATTTTGTAAATCGAGGTCTAAATTTGATTTTCCCTGACTGGATCTTATGATTTCTATTGAAAACCAAATGGATGTTGCCAAGTAATTGAGAAGACTTTAGAAAAATGGTAAAAGTAACGCAATGTTTTTATTACACGCTATAAGTACAAAGCTATAATGCTAGCTAAACATTTGCTTTGTTTTGTGCCATCTAGAGATACTTTGTCGGCGAATTTTGATTTTTTTCAGTAAATAAATGATAGTTCATCAACTTTGTTTTGAAAATGAGAGCAAGGTATTTTCCTCCAGCAAAATAACTAGCGACAGCGCTGATGAGCAGCAATATTTTTTGCATTGAAACGATTTTACTACGTCCCGATATCTACCAGGCTGTCATTTTGTAGAAATATCTGTGTATATTTTTGAATGACTTGAATTTGATTGTCCCTGTAAGGTTTGTGTCTATGATAATTTTCAGATACTCTGTGTCATCGTCTACAACTTGTTGTCTTGTTGTTTCTTTCCAATGCAAAACAGCTCTATAATTCTAGAGTATGTTTTTATTAAGGAGCGGTTATTGTTTTCAAAAGCATGCTAATAATTCTTTCAGGAGTAATGGAGTCATATGTAAAACTTGCCCGTGTTATGTAAAATTTTGACTCGATTCCAGACCCTTCTTTTCGCGAAATTACTTGTTTTTTGCTCTCATTGCTGCCACGAGGTTGAACTGGACCAGTCAAGGAACGTCAATGCTATTAGAAGCTCTGCAAAGCCGTGAAAGCCTTTGGGACACGCACAAAGGCAGACAGTTAAAAAAGTAAGAACATAAAAAAGAATGAGAAACTCATAAATATGTTAAAGGAGGAAATTCCAGGACTCACATACAAACTCTGCTGGCCAGAAGGATTGTCAGAGCAAATAGCTATTGTCAAGGAGACTAGTTGTCTGTATACACATGCAATTAAAACTTGTCAAGAAAAAGTTGTCAAAGAAAACTTGTTGCTTATCTACACCGGCAAAAAAACTTGTGAAGGAAAATTGCCAAAGAAAAATTGATCTTGTAAATGCGGCTTCAGTAGGCCAACTGTTTACTTTGATCAGCAATTTCCATTGTCAGTTTAATTAATCCCTTTTTAGTTTAATAAGCAACCTCGTTCCTAACTTATTGTTATTATATGTAATGCAGATTTGGATTATTGCACATATTTGCACAAATCGGTTGAAACACCTCTCGGCTGTGGCAAAATAGATTAGAGAAAGTGTGTTCACTTGCAAAAAATCTAGTCTCTTTTCTCCTATCTTATCCCTGATATAATACCAGCAATAACAATTATGATAAAGGATGTGATTCTAGTTGCAAGCAATCGGTGACCCCATGGCGAAAATAGAGGTTTTTGTATTTCAAATATTTTGAAAAGATTGTCTAAAAAACAGAGACAGAGATTGTCTCCATCTTCGCCTTTGTCTTCAGGTCAAGTACTTTTGTATACAATACCATTCAAGCCCTTATTGGTTTTCAGCCACAACAATCTGATGTATAGTGACTACGAAAAACTTCGATGCAGTTAGCCATTCTCCTTTGTTTTAGATGTTAAAAGAGTATGGTGTTTCTGCAATTTTGTTGAAACTATTTTTGTCCTATTTCAGTCAGAGGTTATAGCCAGGAGAATTACTGTCTCTTTGAAAAAAGCAACTTACTAACGGTGTCCTACAAACATCCGCTTTGAGCTCCTTGCTTTTCATTCTTCTGGTTAAGGACTTGCCACTCCCATTAAAAATACGAAATTGCTCGCTGATGAAACAGGAAAGTTTTACTAGCATCCAGAATTTGAAGAATTTGAATTTGCTTCTTGTAAACATTGGCCCTTTCATTACCGATTGAATGTAAACATTTTTATAAGTTCATAGAAAATAGAGGGAAGCAGCTGTTAAAACGACACTGAAATAGATTCGATGCTAAGAATTGAAGAAGTTGAACAGAGTCACATAAATCTTGCCATCGCATGAACGAAATAATGATATAGCCTTCACAACACTTCATTGCAGCAAACAGCAGCACAAATAATAGTTGTAAAACCCCCGGGGCACGATTTCCAACATCATTTACCGTTGGTAAACGCTATGAGCGTATAACTGTTTGATTTAGAATCATCTCTTTGATTATACAACTGTTTGTGGAGCTGAATTAACAAATGTTTGATGAGAATTCTTCAGATCTCCTTTTGACTAATATGCCAAATTGATTTTAGCAATTAAGCTCTACGGCTCATTATATTTAAGTTTTACTAAACGGGAAATAACGGGGGATAATGAGGAATAACAAGGAATAACTAGGAATGGCGAGGAATAATGAGGACTTTTATCACCTCCTTTGGGTAACAACTGATTTGTGTAAGCGAATTACTGGAAGCAATTTAAAGAGAGCCAAGAAACTTCAAAATGCTGAGCCATGGATTTTGAGAATTATGGGTTAATGTTTGGGAATTAATTCGATTTATTGGAACACAGTGCTTTAAAATGATTATTGTAGTGTTAAAGAAAAGACTCTCGCTTCTTTATTTCTGTAACCAAGCTTGTTTATTCACCAATATTGTAATGCTTACTAGTTTTATATTCAATTTTCGCATCGAATGCTTCTTTCTACTTTAACGCGATTTAGGAAAGAAGCTTGGAAGAAAAATTGAAAATTGAAATGCATTATGCTAGACTTCGTCTCAGAAACATCTGTATGTAACAAAAAGATCGGAAAGTTCAAATGATATCTGTTGAAAAGGAAACATTACAGATTGCAGCATAGCGGTGAAATCTTTGATTGGCTGAGAGCTTTGTTCGCTACCATGTTCTAAGCCAATCAGCACACAGGATTCTCACAACAAAATCGCTTCGGAGCTAGAATTAGGCCCATTTTCGCCATTTCGGCGTGTTTTTACCACACTTTCTACAAAAAACATTGCACGCCTCTACAAAGCAAATTTCCACTTTATTTTTTGTCCAGTTCATCATCATGCGTTGCTATTTAACCTATATTGGCGCCACTGTTTGATCGCAAAGAATAATATAAAAAAACACCTTGCAAATGATCGCTAAATTTGGTGTCGAGATTCAGGTAAATTACGTTTTTACCTCTCCCCACCCAAAGTGCTTTAGACATTTCACATTTAGATAAAATCAATTATATACTTATCTTAAATCTAGAAATGGTTCATAATCCCGTCAAAGATGCACTCACTGTTCAGCCTTAGATTCGGCGGTGATCGCCAATGTAATTACCGCAACGGCACGAAGGCATTCATATTCACCCTCGAACTCAATAAATGTATCTTTGTCCTCTGGAATCAAAATTGATTTCATAAAAGTGAAAAATTTTCCAGCAACAACCCAAAGTAATTTCAATCATGATTGTCCAAAGACAATTTACCATTTTTACTAATTTTATGTGATGAAAATGGCGAATACACTCACCCGGTAAGACTGGGATCTAATAAAATTTGAAAACGGCGGGAAAATTGACGAAAACGCACCCTAGAAATTTTCCCGAATCCTATGTGCTGATTGGCTTAGAACATTGTAGCGAACAGAGCTCTCAGCCAATCAAAGATTTGACCGCTATGCTACAGATTGCATAACCACTTTGGTTATCACCTGGTGTTGTTATGATTCCCTTGTAATTCGGAAACCGTCTTTTTAAGGCGTTTCAATTCAACAACCCTTTCATCTCGATGGTTAAACATAAGAAAAACAACCTTTTTTAATTATAGATGCAAGACTTCTATGTAATGCAAAAGGTGGTTGTATTGAAGCAAACGTCGTGGTGGCAGACCTATCTTGCTTCTATAATCTCTTGATGTATACGAACTATACCTCCGCCAAAGTCCCACATAACTGGATGATTCTTCATCATTCACAATCAATTAAAAATTACACTACTATCATGACAATACATTAGTACCCGCATATAAAAATTCACAGGCTAAATAGTGGGATTAGACCCTTATCCAATAAGAACCAATACAGCCTGAAAATTGGAAAAGGCTCTTACTTGGAGGAGAAAAATAAAAATGAAAGCATTTTATAAAATTTTTGTATAGAAACAAAATGTTTCTTGAAAAAAGATTGAACAAGATATGAGGAAAATAAACAAAAAAGCTTCAGTGAAGATTTTTAAACACGATGGAAAAGTTTGAATACATTAATTCATATCTTGTGTATATTAGATTTTTCTCTAAAATTTCATCTCACATATTCTAAATGAAGTGCTTTTGCTGAAAATTGAAGAAAACTACAACTCTGATTTAAAAAAGCAATGAAGGATAAATAATAAATGGCAGATAAATAAGAAGGGTCACTGGTCTTCTTTTCCATGTTATCTGTTTAAAAGGTTTTCCTTTGTCGATATCGCTAGCAGCATGAAAACGAGGCCTGTCTGAACGTATGAACATTGGTTTTCTAACTCGTGCAATTTCATTGCGGATGCAAATACCCTTTTTTCACAGAAAAATTTAGGGCAATTGGATAGAAAGTACCCGGATTCGAGCGTCTACGAGACATCGGAATCATAGTGTTACTAGAAATTTCCACTCCGAGAAACAGGAACTAAAATGTTGCACAATCGATAGCGAACTTGCCAAATACTGTCAAAAACATTTGCATATGAGCGGACAAGATCTGATATAGAGATGCTTGCACATACTTTCAGAAGCGAAACATCGAAATAAGAAGTACTTTTCTGGGTGCAAGTGTTAGCTTAGCATTTAGCCAATTTACAGGACAGTTAGATTTGTCTTTCCTTTAGAGTCTGCTCCTTACTTTTATCTAACAAGAATATAGCCCATGCCAAGCGTGTTTTTATCCCCATTATCTGGACTCAATGAGGCTTTGTTGCAACAAGAGCTCCAAATTCCTCCCAGCCCGACAAAGGAGTCAGGAGAAGCGCATTCATTTTCTTGGTTTGCAATTATACCAATTCTCGTCATTAGCATGTTTCCTGAATTCTTGACATTCAATCCCTCATGGTTGCAGTTAAGCTGCAAGGAAGAAGAAGCTATCAGTGATTTCCAGGTAGATCTTCCAATTCTTGTCTGCACAAAAGTCCCCGGTTTGAAAATTGCAAGCAACGAGGCAGCATTGATTGGTAATTTAATCCAATTGACGGCCGATGCCACATTCATACCGATGCACATTTCATCAAAAGACACATTGTTGAAAGCAGGAAACTTTGCCTCATTTTCGTAAAATGATTTGATGCCATTTTCTACGTCAAAAATTTCGTTGTTTGTCCAGTATGCAGAAGAGGCTTTGAATGTAGTCTATGGATAAATGCAAAAAGGGATGCAAAAAAGGAACGCTAAACATAAGCAAAAATTTGTGCAATTGCTACATAACAAAATGCTTAAAAAATAGATTTAAAAATAGAAATGCTTTAATAATTTTGTTCGCTTTTATAAGAAAACAATTATCAAAGTAAATGAATTTTATAAGGTCGGTATAGAAAGGTCGGCATAGAGAATTGCTTTCTCGATTGGTTAGTTAGCAAATGACAAAGAAGCTCTTCCGAGTTAGCAGATGTCTTGATCGTGTCTACTTGATTCCTTCGACATGTCCCATTTCAAAAAGACTTTCCTTCAAAACAATTTTAAGTTTATCAAAATTAGATCAATTCAAAATAACCATGGAATTGACAGCAACAGACCTTTGAGCCATCAACTTTCATTGCAAGTGTCCAGCCGCCACCTCCGCAGCTACCAACATTACTCATGTTGCAAAAATGAAGACCAGATTTCAGCCTGTATACGCCAGACGTCACTGCTCCATTCGAAAATATTTCCTTGCAACTGTCATATACTAAGAAAAGAACACATTCTAATGTGTTAGTGATACAAAACGCTAAGCCAAAGCACTTTGATGCATTTTTAGAAATCAAAGCGAAAGAGAATACTAAATAGGACTTTTTGACATCATAGCATCGTTCTTGCTAAATGCTTTCGTATTAAAGTTGTCAAAAACTATTTATCAATCTAGATTTTTTTCAAATTACGGGACAAAAATTTAAATGACTCTTTATTTAAGGTTTTTTGAAAAATATGAAGAAAACACTAAGAAGCTTCGTGCGAAAGGATTTAATGAATCAACAAAGAATTAACGATTTAACATCAACAAGAAAAATCTAAAATTTAAGACGCTGTTGCAATACAAGACAAAATTTCTGATTACCTTTTGGCTCTGAAGACGTTTGCTGCTGGAACATAAAGAAATATTTAAGCTTTCATTCAATATCATAAGTTTAGAAAACAAATTATTCCAATCTTCACGTTATGACTTCAAGAAATAGCGTTGAAATGTAGAAATGTTCTGTAGAAACGTTGATAATGTAGAAACGTAGAAACTTGGATATAGAAACGTTCAAGGTACTTATTGAAGAAACGGCAGTTCAGTATGGAGAACTTTGTGATGGCAAATGGCTTGATTTTCACAACAAGAAAAAAAGCATGCGTGGTTATAAAAACTAACAAATTGCTAACCTGAATGACTATTCCCGTCCAGTGACTTGAAATAGCAGTTGTTGAGCAACTACTGCTTGAAAATACTTCACAGTTCTCCTTTGCATCATTAGCAGCATTATAGTTAATTGTGGTACACTTGTCGTATCTCAGGCACTTATGAACGCACTGCATTTCACTAGCTGCTTTGTAAATCTTTTTATCGACATCGGGGCATGAAAACTTTTTATTCTTGATGTAGGTTGTTACGGACGCTTTGTTGCAAGTTGCAGCAACAATCAAGAATGCAAATACTGCCAGACTCGGAATTCTTGTCATCATTTTGGCAGAACATGAACTACAGATGTAAAATAACGACCGAATCAGATAACTAACATAGAATATTTACATCCACGCTCATTCACTCAACACCTTGCGATCTTCTTCCACCAATCACATCATGTGCGCCGTTCATTCACCCGTCGCCTTGCAATATTTCTCCGCCAATTTGTTGAGGTATTTCCAAGATACAAAAAAAATCTGAGAAGCCAAATTGATTTTCTTTATAAAATTAGACAAGAGAATCATAGGAGTTTTCTTTCCCGCATGTACGTTTCAATTTATCTCTACTCAGTTTAAACTGTTTCTGCTTCTTTAGCAAGAAGAATATTTACATTCAAACAAGAAAGACGATTTCATTTTACTGTATGGCTTTGCTAATACACAGTTATACTAAAGAGTTATCTTACCAAACATTTTCATCTTAATCTCATCAAAGCAGGTACTGAAGTAAAAGACTGAAGCCTTCCCAAAATTCCTTCAAAAGTCTTTCGGGTGGCTGTTGTTTTCTTTCAATCAAAGAATCGCAAACATATTATCTTATCATTGTTTTGTTGTTTGTGCCTGGTCATGGCTAGATTATTAATTTCTGAGTAAGAAGTAAATTAAATGACGAAAATGAGATGGCTCACACATGCTGCGAAGTAGCATTTAGACGGGGGATAATGCACAATTCTTTACAGCTGCATCAACGCAGCCTCGTGATCTTAAGGGAGGAAAAATACTCTTCATTTAGAGATTATACTCCTGTTTTGCAAGTCCTTTAAATGCAAATTTTATGTTCTTGAGTCACAAGTCAAAATGCTGTTGCGGCAGTAAACCTAACTTACGAGTAAAGAATTTTTTGACCTCCTTAGGTTGAAAAGTTCTAACTGAAAGTATAGTATGGAGCTACAAGGAAATAAGTAAAATTATAAAGGCAATCTTTTTGGGGGGAATTTAAGAGCCGTAATCATAGATATGTTTATTTATCAATGTTTGACTGGCCTTTCTTCGTAACTCCAAACGTTGGGTTTTTTGAGAAAATGAATGGGTGCATTCTTTTCTCGAAACGCCGATGAATATTATCAGAATTCAAATTTTGAGCTTGAGACGAGGGTATCATTTTTAAATTTTGGAGGATATTTTGCCCGCATAGTACCATCAAAAAGTGCCACCCCTTCTTCGTTCAAGAAAAGGCATGACTTCAAGTGATGTTGTCAAAAAAGATCAAATAGAGCTTCATTCAGAGTCATCGCAGCTCGAATCAAAACTCTGTTTACATTGAAATCGAAAAGTTCCAGACGAAAAAGTTTCAACAAAACAATCTCAGATGAAAAACGTTCCAAACATGATATCAGATATATGCTTATACCAACTGTAATTTTACGTTAATCAATCATTTAAAACTTAAACTAACTGCATAGGTGCACTAGTTAGGCTCAATGAACGGAGAAATGAACGGAGAAATGAACGGAGAAATGAACGGAGAAATGAACGGAGAAATCTGAGAACAACGAGAAAAACTAGCCCTGAAATCGTAGCACAAAATGCTGACATCGTCATAAATTTTTATCCGAATGTTAGATTGTTCAATTTTTATGGTTCTATGTCATACATTGGTCTTCAAGCTGAAAATGGTAAATCTGCTGAAGAAAGCAGCAATGTCATCTGCACTTACCTGCATCTAGAGCAGCATTGAAATAATGTTTTTTATGTATTATGAACTTGTCTAGCATTGTAGCCCTTCACATTGAAAATTATCACCTCTTGTGTGACCTATAAAAGCTTTATCGCTGACATTTTACTAAAATGTTGTCTTCAGTATTGAAATTAGCACTTAAATGAAAGAGCCAGCTAATTATCCCTTTCAGTCAATATCAATTATAGATTTTTCTTCAGTGTTCGCTTTTATCACTTCAATGCTGAATTACTCAGAAGCTGTGATTTGAAATTCAAGTGACGACTGTCATTGGGTCATTCGGCTTTAGAAAGTTCTGCTTAACTTCTTTGTATTGCTAGGCTTTCGGTTACATTTTTAACACGAGATAAATCAAATTCATTAAAGCATGCTTTTTATGAATTATCCCTGTAATCATAGACGTAGAAAATATAATCGAAATTAAGAGACATCTTGATCTACATATTGTGACATTTTCGTGCACAGATTTTTGAACCTAAAATAAGGGCAAAAAATGAACAGAAATGTATTACCTATGCCTTGTGCGTCAAAATTGGGAGTGAGAAGAAAGGCATTACCGCCTGTTAATTGAAAAAACGAGACTGCTGTTTAAAACAAGCAAAACACTTTTCTAATTTACCTACTGCTTAGCCACCTGTTATACATTGCTTATTCAATTTTTCTCTGCAAAATTAATCATCTTGTCGGACAGAGAATCAAACGAATCTCCGCCTTTAAACAGAGGTTCGCTTAAACTGGCAATCAATTTCGATGACAAAAGCATGGTCGTCCATATCCTTGGTTTGGTTTCATAAACATTTCATGTCTACAGCAAATTTTACTTTGCTTTTTTTTGTTCAATGCGAGCAACTGCTTACTACGAGAGCGAGACATGTCAAGCTTTGTTTGGGGTGAAGACGCCGGAGCACATTTCTGAGTGGGAGGGGGCTCTAGACAGATTGGAAAATCTTTATGGTTGTTTTCCCCCATTATCTTTAAGATCACTACCTGAGCATCAAAGTTCGGCAAAAAAGGAGTGGGCCATAGCCACCCCCAGCCCCCTCCGACTCCGGCGTGCCTGGGAACGCGCTTCTTATTAGTCAGTTAAGAAGGAATTTCCAGGGATAGGTTTGTATTCAGCAGTTTCATTCCACAATCAAAGTTCAGTGTTTTTCAGACATCACGGAGCGTTGAGAAAAGTGAGGGATATAAAAAAATGAAGGGGCGGGGGCCGAGACGCAAAAACACTGCACACCTACAAACCTGGTTTGGAGTTTTTGTCAAGAATTGAGGAAGTTTGTTGACAAAAATTAAATGTTATATTGTTGGTATAGTTCTTATAAGTGTTTAAAATAAATCATCAATGAATTCATAGAACCGTTAAAAATCATGTCAACTGTATGCAGCTGGTGAGGTTATTTTTCAAAACTATATCAAAGAAGAAAAATCAGGTTTGATCAGTTAATGTGATGAGTGAGAGAAAAGTCTATAAGGAAATATTCATGTATGTCAGGAAAAATGATTTTTGAAAAACTTTCATTTGAAGTGCAGCAAAAATTCAACAACAGATTCTTTTGGACAATGGTCTTAAGAAAAAAGAATGGTACATTACTCAAGCAAGACCTTCTACCAGCATGAAATAGAAGCAATTCACTTGCAATAAAAATAGATTGAAAAAGGCACAATACATTTCAATTTATGAATCGCTTCCTTAAAACTGTGGCCTCCCTTGTATTAAAACCTGGTTAGAGCCCTTGCGCTCAAAGAGACAAATGATATGGAACGATCCCTAATTACATCATTTGTCTGGTTATCAAAACACCGTAGAGCGATTTTCCAGTAAATACCGTATTTCCTCTAAAGAGCACCGTCCTCTAAAGAAAACCATTACATTACGTTCATTACAAAATCCAAATTTTGGATGCAGCGGTTAATAGATGTGTTAAGGCTACAGAAATGTCAAAGAATTTCAAAATCCTTGTCTCCGCGAGTCACCCCCTCTATGACATAACAACTTCATAGCTTTCGCATAGTAAGCGTGTAAACAATTTGTTACTTATTGTTTCGGGTGTTTCTAATCCACTCGGCTAAAAGCGTATAAAAAGTGGCGTGACTGGTGATTCATTGGTAAATTTTTTGAATTTTGGGCAAAAAGTAGGGGCTATAGTTATGTTACGTTACGCTAGCAAAGCTTTTGCAATGCTTATAAAGGATGCAGACTATGGCCACTCTAACTGGGTATCTCATGCCTGCGACCTTAGGGTACGCTATGGAATACAAGAATCGGATAATCGTTCAGTTATTAAAACTAAGGTTATAAGTTATTTCGAGTCAGAAGTACTGGGAAGATTGAATGAACACATAACTGAGAACAAAAAACTAAATTTATACGCCTCATTTAAAACAATTTACAAATTTGAGTCTTATCTTGATTACATACAAGATTTCACTGTTAGATGCATATTAGCAAAACTAAGAATCAGCGCTCACAATCTTCAAATTGAAACAGGGCGATTTAGTAAAAACAAAACTCCAAGAGATGAAAGGTTTTGTCCGTACTGTAAGACTTTAGATATTTTCAAAGTTGAGGATGAAGTACATTTCCTCTTAACTTGCCCCCTTTTTAACGAGGAACGGCAAATTTTTTACAAAAAATCCACAAAACATTTACAAATACTTCCGCGTTGAACGAATTCAATATGTACATTTGGTTAATGAGCCAAGAAGATTATATTACAACAAAGGTTTTAGGAAATTTCTGCAAAAAGTCCTTTGAAAAAAGATCAAAATTTTTAAGCGACCCCACAAGCATTTTAGATTAACAGCTAATAATTTTGTAGCTTAGTAGCTTTTGCTGAAAATTTAGCTTTTTATTCGCCGTAGTTGTAGTTAAAAATGTAATTGTAAAATTGTAATTCGCTGTAGTACTGTAAGCAGTTAAGGGCCATCTCGGCCTAGATACTTGAATTGCAACAAAAAAAAATAGTCCCCCAGCCACCCTTCTCCGCGGTGCCTGTTTTCTGTTTTTTTATTCCGGAGTTTTCCATCTTGTATGCTCGGAACAGGGTTTGACATGTGTCTAAGGTTTGTTTGAAAGTTTTTGTTCGTCATATAGGCTTATCAAGCTATCACTGGAAAGCTTGCTTATCCAGGCCGGGATCGATCCCGGGTAAACGGGGTCTATATCTTTTTGCACTAAAAATTACTTCATCGCTTCTTGCAGACCTTGCACTAAGAATTATATGTAAGCCCTAGTAAAAAGGACTGAAAAGGGATAATTTTTATGACTGCGATACTTTAACTGATCTGCTCGGAGTGGCTTTCAAAACTATACATTAGCCACAAAAAATTTTGTCAAATAAAGTTTGCATTACAACCAAAAGGTTATCAATTACCATGCCCCCCTATTTTTCTAAAATTTCGTATGTATCTACTTTAAGAAAAAATTTAACTTTTGAAGGGAAAATTCGACACTTTCGTGGAAAGAAGATGCTCTTTTTTAATATATGAAGTACCCAGTTTGTCAGAAAAAATACACCGTTTGAGAATTAAATACGAATTATTTTTAAAGGTAGGCCTTTTCTGCTGAGAGATCTTCTTCAATATGAAAAATAATCAAGGTCGAATGATACACGAATAGAATTTTCAACAGCTTCATAAGAAGTACGATTAACTCTTTGCGGCTATATACGCTACTCTCCCTAGGAATTGTGCTTCCGAGTTTGGTAGATTTGGACACAGCTGTTTAGTTTTATTTTAAGGAAATTTCCGGATACTTTTGGATCCGATCCCTGAAATGGCAATGCGTTTACACGGGATCCGATCCAGAACCATTTGCGTTTACACGGGAACGGATCCAGATGAATTCGACAGGTTACACGCGAGCGCTTTCCGAAAATTGGCGCGCATTTGCCGTTTTCAGAATTTCGTGCGTAATCAAAACATTGCTCAACCTGAACATGGAGGGAGATAACGCTAAAAAGAATAAATTTTCGTGGACTGAAGAAGAAACTGCGCTACTTTTAAAAGTAGTATTGGACTACAAAACTCCAAAGCTTGCAGGTGGGCAGGATTGGGAAAATATGAGGACAAAGTACGACGATATATCGTCAAAGTTTCGTAATAATTCTTCAACGCAGTAGTCTATCAACTTGATGTTCGGTTTTCTGGCGCCAAAAAGCCACGGATTGAATTGAAAAATATTCTGTCGCATTTTCGACAAATAACGTAGACGAATCCGATCTGGACCAGATCCACCCGTTTACACGGGATCCGGTCCAGATCGGATCCATACGGGATCACCTCTGAAAGCGATCCCAAAAGTGTTCGGATAGCGGATCCAAGAGTATACGGATCCATCAGTTCCCGTGTAAACGCAAAGCCAAACCCTTCCCATTTTGATTCCGATCCGGTTCGGATCCGCTCTCGTATAAACGGGGTCTAAATCTTACATGGAGTCCAATTCTTATTCACTGCACCAAGTTGCGTAAAGTGTCAAGACATTTCCTTGCACTATATCTGGAGAAAGGAGATCTAATGCAACTGCCAGAAATACAGCTGAGTAATGTTTTCTGCTTCTTGAATGGTAAATATTCTCTGTCTGTCCTCCCAACAAAAAGACGGGGCCAAATACCTAGCTCTGTCGAAAAAACAAGCCGAGAACAAATGCAGATTTGTTGAAAGTTTGATTTAAAATTATTTCGTTACGCAGAAGTTAAGGTATGATGATAGCAGGGCCGCACTTCCCACGGGCCCGGGGTCCTACCAAAAATAGGGGCCCAAGATTTTTTGGAAGTTCAATATGGTATCAAAAGGTTTCTCTTGTGTGAGTTTCTTATCAGTGCGCCAGTACATAAGCGCGTGCAAGCTTCAAAAACTGATTTGGATGATACCATTTTATACGAACTGACATGGCACCCTAACTTCACGAAAGAAGAGAAGGATGCTCTTCACAACCAAATACACCTATCAAGCAATATAAAGTTACCAAATGTATTTGCAAAAATCTTTATACATTATACAACCTCTTACATTACCACTTGCTCTATCTATGAATGGAATTGAAAAAACAGAGTTTGGCCATCACGCCTTCCCGGAATATCAAAATAAACAAAACAGTTTATACAACGCTTCAAGTACTAAAAAGCAACACCTTGTTATGAGAAAACATCGGACAAATGGACGTTATTCGAGACCTTTTTAATTATATTAGGAAAATATTTAAAATCTTTGGACCCGTTGGAGAGGATGAAATCTTCCAACCTGCTGATAGATTAAGCGAAAAAAAATGAATAACAATAATGATATCATCGACGAGAACATTGAAACAGATTTTTAAAAGTTCATTCAAGAAGCACAAAAAGATAAAGCTCAAGAAACTTCCATACTAGGTTTTCTCTAGAAACAATTTCAGCATTAATGTCAATATCCTCTGCCTAGTGTTGGGCCAAGACATGAAGAAAATTCAAACGTTTTGTCTTAATCTGAAGAGACCCTGTCCAATTATGTTGCATAGGTAAAATTGCTTCAAAGAGTGCATTTTTGACTGGAAACACTCATATTCGAACATTTTTTCATCCTTCTACGTCAAACGGTGCCGCCTTGGGTAGTACGAAAATCGAGACGTTATACGTATTGGTGATTAAGTGATTTCATTTCTAGGTGTTTAAGTTAAACACGCAACATGCAACAGGAGAAGAGATCATCTGTTATTTTTAACCAAATAAAAAGACCAGAGATAAACGCACCTGTATGCACTTTGTCTCCTCCAATCCTTAAGCCATTGCTGGTTAAGCCGGCCTTTCGTTTACACGGGAATACTCGGGATCGATCCGCTATCCGTGCTAATTTGGGTTCGCTTTGGAAAGCGTTCCAGTTCCAAAACTGGATCGATCCCGTCTCGTGTAAACGCTCGAAAAGGTGGGATCGATCCCAAATTGGCACAGATAGGAAACGAGGCTAATAAATTATCCAATTGGAGGTGCTTTGAACATGGTGCTTCGAACTTTTTTCTATCAGATTTTGAGCGCATTCTCGTTTCTCACTCATCAGGAAAGAATAACAAAACAATATGGAGGAATTCTTTTACAACTTTATTGACAAATTAAGCGAACATGCTTCACCTTAAGGTAATGATTTATTCCCGACATAGATTGAGGCAGCGTCGCCTGTTGGAAACGCTTCACCCTCTTCCTTCTCATTTGGGTAGGACGCTATAAAGTTTTTATAGATGTCCTCATACTTAGAACGAATAGTCTCCCAGTCCTGGCCATCTGCTAACTTCGAAGTTTGTACTCCAGCGTGATCTTCAGGAGTAGGGCCATTTATTTGTCGCTCCAAATAAACATTTTGTTACCACTTTTCGAATTCGAAGTCAATCTTCCTACAAATTTGGCGCTATCAACGCTATCCTCTTTGTGTTGCTAATGACATAAGCAATACGCATGTGCGTTCCTCCCTAAGGGCCGACCTGGGATCGATCCCGTGTAAACACATAATGTTTTGGGATCGATCCCGTGTAAACGCAAGCGAAATTTACGGAGCGATCCAGTGTAAACGGGGTCATAGAATCGAGTAAGGGAGGGTCTGTTCTTATTATGACAAAGGAAATTAAGATAATTCCCACGGACGTTTCTCACTAATTTGCCATTAAGCAAAATCATCTTTTCACCAAATATATTGTGTCCTTTAGTCTAGCAGTTTAGAAGCAATCCTCCCTTTTCACCTGACTACTTCAAAATTACATTGGAATAAAGCCAAATGTTTGAAAGCACTCGCTTGAATCCTCAATATGACCATACTTGCAGTGGCGTAGCTAGCCAAATAGCAGTGGTCATGCCCTCCCCTCAAATTTGAAAAAATATGGGTGTCGCCAAATTTTACCACGCCCAATTTTTTAGTTGATGAATTCCTTTTGGAAATTTTAATTTTAAGGCTTGTGACTTATAAAAAAATTGTGATTAACTTTTGGAATGAGCTTTCCTTATTTCATAGCAATCATCTTGTTACACTATGAAATGACCTTTATCTTATAGCTGTGACACTGTTTTGGATTGTTGGTAATTTATACAGACAGAGTTCTGACAATTTCCAAACAGAACTGTACAAAAGACATTAAAAAAACATTAGTTTAGTATAGTAGATAAACTTAGCTTAAATTAAAAATTGTTTTGTTCTCCTAATCTCTTTCAATTTGCAGGCTGAAATACATTTGTAAATTTTAGAGATAAGCTAAAATTTGTATATGAAACAATAAATCACATGAAACTGAATGGGAGCTTTTTGGTCATCTTTTCCACAAATAGTCTTATTATCAATCTGTTGAAGGTATTTCAAAGCCATCACGATTAACTAACAACCCCAATAGAATTGATAGATAAAACAAATTGGCAAATGAATATCCAATGTAAATATTGATATGAAATATAGGAAGCTAAAATAATGGATAGGCCTAGTTGCAAAATGTTTTCTGCAAAGTTAGACTTAATAGAAAAATACCTTGCAAAATAAGTTTAGCTTAACAAAAACATTGATGTTTCCACATATACTTGTGGTAAATATCCACATGATTGGATTGTCCTTACTAAATCTAGCAAACAAGGGTTGTAAATGAATAATTTGATCTTGTAAATTTTCAAATACATCAAAAGTTGTAATAGTGAAATAAAACTGTTTAACTAACAAGATCAGTAACACGCTTGACTTGTCTCTGGTCATTTTATTTCAACAGCTATAAGTAGTAACAAGTACTTTCAACTAAAAGTGAAGTCAGTAGAGCTTTGAGTTTGACTTTAATTGTGTGTAAAAACAGTGTTATTGCATGTGATAATAAACAAAAAATTGAAGAATAACTTTAAGCAAGTTCTGGCATTCCCTATCCATTAACTACAATCTTATTGTCCTAATCATAATATGGTAACAATGCTTTTAAAGGGCTTAACAGTTTCTGAATATGCTGCTAAATGTCTGGAAAGTTTAAGCTCTCAAATCTGTTGGTTTGGAAAATAACACTGTTATCTCCTCCATCCATCTCCAGTGAACAGCATCAAGATTTGGCATTCACTAAATCAAGAAGATTCTCTGCAAATGTTCAACTAGTAACAATTGATTACTGAAAAGGCTGAGAGTTTGGTTTGGTTGCATAAAATGATCCTGCTCGCTGATTTTATGTCCAAAATGGTCTTTCGTGCCTGTCACTTCTCCACATAGTGCAACACCATTAAGGCTGAAAAACCCTGTCGTTGCCATAAAATGTTCTGGAGATTAACATGAGTCGTGGCTGCTTGGCAATAAGCTTTTGTTTGCATTTTACTTACAGAGAATTAACTCCCAGCTCGTGGATCTAGGCATAGCAGCGCCGCCATCGATGCCTCGCATTCGCGTTCACGAAATAACACAGGACGGTTCTGATGATTATAATGATGGTCATGCCTTCTCGAAATGGCATGACTAGCCTTTGTTCTCTCCTGCGTCACTCCTATTGTTAGGCATGACCAAACATAGGGAACCAGCGTTATGGGCATGACTAAAACACAGGGTTTGGTCATGCTCATAGTTATGGGCATGACTAAATTGGAAACCCTCTGTTTTAGTCATGCCCGACAATAGAAGAGCGCCTTCGGAGGGCTCCATATTCTTGGGTGGAACCATAGGGCTCCAAAGGCGAATGGCCTGAGCTATTTCATCAGGAGAATAGGACTTTATTCTTACGAAAATATAATTTTTTGAAAAATGTTAACTCTGAAAATAGATGGTCATGCCCGGCATGACAAGCATGACCGCTAGCTACGCCACTGCATACTTGCAATTTCCAAAAACAAACTAGCTTTAAGAAAAGGAAGTTTCTGAAATTTTGCTTAGATAAAGTCATTTTGCCCTGCTCGTGTGAACGTAAGAAGCAGGTCGTGTTTTTGCTCCAGATCCAACTTTTGAATTGTTTGTTTTCATAGAGATTATAACCAAGGGAAACCGTCAAATGGGTCAGAAAATTGGGACCTAAACGAATCTACACCCGACTGAACTAAGTTTACACATGACCTAGTTTTTCTTTATTTAGGAACGAAAACGTCGGTCATTCTAGAAAGAAGTACACATTTCTAATTTTAAGTTTTTTGATTTATGAAAAATACCAATTTTAATCAAAATATAATAAGCAAAATGTTCTGTATCATCTGTAGTTAGGCAAGAGGTTGGAAAAACATGATACAGATTAGTCGATTTAGATTTATGGTTCCTTATAATTTTTATGTTTCTTTGATAATGTTATGCCTAACTCTTCCCAATAAAAGCCCAAGACTAGATCTAGATTCAGAATTAACACAGTTGTCAAGACCTGTTGTCCGTTTATATGAGAAAAATGACCCCCACCATCGTTCATGAGCTGAGAAGTGAAATACCACTGTCATCTACAAAAAAATATTTGTAATTTCCATCTTCTGCTTGCACAAGAAACAACTTATCAAGTGATATTCTCCTCTCAACATTCTGGATCACACCTTTTGATTATCCCATATACAATTGAATTATTCCGTCAATTCGGGCATTCAAGGGGGTGTTATAGGTTATATTGTGTCCTATAACTCTAGAGTAATCCAGATACTTGAGAGCGAAAGGCGACTCGTAGATTGACGTGCGACTCGTGCACGAGGTTAGCGATTGACTAATGTTAACACAAAGAACTATACAACTTATACACATATGATTTCGAGGTTAAACTATTACGAGGTTACAGTTACGTTAAGCCTACTACAGGGGGGGGAGGGGGGGCGCGGGGTAAGAAAATTGTCTAACTTGTAGATTGTCCAACATATCCGGGGTAATACTTTCAATTTGAAAATCCAAAAAATTGTCCAGGGCATGACTTAAGGGGAACTGGGAAACTGCATGGAAGCTGGGAAAATTAACATTAATGCGCATGCGTTCACATTCTATTACGAAAACATGTCGTGTTTCAGTTTGAAAAGATTGATGAAACCCTGATGATATCAAAGCTAGAAGCTTTAAGTTGGGAAGAGATTTGCATGTAAACATGAGGTGACTTCAACTTTCTTGCCAGTTCGTAGGGAGAAAGATGGGACAATCTATGAGCAGCTTCAAATTTAGCAGATTGAACAGACGCTAAACAGAGTAACGGAAGCATGACAAGAAAAAGTGGTTTTTCAAATACTTAGTTTGTAAAAGTTGCGTTTACATAATCACATCTTAGTGTCGAGTCCCTCACTTAACAAGAATAAATCCCATGGTTGGAACTTTTTGATTTCCTTCAACGCAGGCTGTGGCTGAGTTCCCGCAAGCTAGGTCCCGACCACCTAAAGCAATGTAGGAATCTGGAGAGGAGCAGTCATTTTGATCGTTCGCAATAATGCCAATTCTAACCATTGGTTTGTTGTAGTATGTCCCAACATTAACTCCTTCCAAATTACAGTTAGGCTGCAAAGAAGACGAGCTAATAAGTCCTTTCCATGCACTACGCCCAACGTGAGTTAGAATGTGTTGTCCAGCCGTTAAAATTGCCAGAAGAGACGAATACTTTAATGGTAATCGCAGCCAATTGACTTCGTCTTTGTTCTTCATTCCAATGCAGATCTCATCAAATGCAAGATGGCTGAAAGCAGCAAATTTTGCCTCGTGCTCGTAAAGCGATTTCAGGCCGTTTTCGGTATTGTACTCTTGATCATTGGACCACATTGGACTGTTGAAACCAAAAGTTCCCTAGAACAATACTGTTACAATGGCAATAACTTGAAAAATCATTGAAGGCTCTTAAATAAAGAAAATAAGCATGTTATATGATAGAATCTTCTGATATAATTTAAAAGAAGCGAGAGCTAAGTTATCTCTAAATTGAAGCTCCATCTCTATCTGTGAATCCATTATCGTAGCCTCCGCATTATAAATACCTAATCTTCTTAAGGTTTTTCAAATATCATGATCAAGATCAACTGATGCAATCAATCAAAGCACAGCCTTCTTACATTTGAATAAAACCAATATCGAACGATTGTGTCTTTAAGTCGTTGGCATTTCGTACCGTTGCAGCTTTATCATTATTTATCATTCTGGCTGACCAGGCCATTTATAACATGCTAACTAGGGGGGCAATTGCTCCTCCAGCCCCAGTGATTTTTCATTGCCCCTCCTATTATTTAACATTCTTCTAAATTATATTTGCTATTTCATGACTACAGAAAATCTTTGTAACTATGCCGATGACAATACAATATGGACAGTAAGTAAACATATTTATGATATAATATATAAATTAGACACAGAAGTAGCAACTCTAAAATGGTTTAAGGATAATTCATTGTTACGAAATGAAGACAAAGAGACAAAAAAGGCCAAACTACTTGGAATAACTTTAGACAGCAAACTAAACTTTGAAGAACATATAAACAACTTATGTAAAGTAGCAGGTAAAAAGTTAAAGGCCCTAGTCAGAAGCGCCCCTTATATGAATGAATATAAAAGATCCCTATTGATGAAAACCTTTATGTTTAGTCACTTAAACTATTGCCCTCTTTCATGGATGTATTGTAGCCGCAAATCTGGAAAACCTATTGAAAGTATCCATAAAAGAGCACTGAGAGTGGCTTACAATGATTTTGAATCAAGCTTTGAAAATATTTTCTCGCAAAAAAATGATGTCAGGATACATGAAAAGAACCTACAACTACAAGCAATAGAAATATACAAAACAGTAAATAACTCAAATCCTGTATTTATGAAAGAAATATTTCAGTTGAATGAACTTGCATAGAATTTACGAAATCAATCGTTTAGACAAAAAAAGCCTAACACTGTTATTTATGGGCTAGATACAATATCCTATAGATGTAATGAATTGTGGAATTCTATACCATTAGACATTCGATTGACAGAAAATTGTAAAGTATTCAAAACTAAAATTAAACAAACGGATCTTACTTGCTCGTGTAGACTTTGCACACCAATATACTTCTAATATTGGATACTTGTAAACATCACGATTTTTCTTATATTTGTTATTGTTACAAGTTGGTGTTAATTAGCTGTTTATTAGCTATCATTTTGTAAACCAACATTGAATAAAAAAAAGGCTGTGTCTGCCAAGTACAAATTGATGCATGCAATTATTTTGATGACTTAATCTTCTTTTTTGTTCGATTTTCTCTCCTTTTAATCAGGCATCCGGTTCAATCATTTCCTGCAGTTGAAGGTATGTGTCGTAAACCTGATTGGCTAAGGCAAACTCTAATGACTCTGGCGATGCTTGTTCTGCCATCTTATTTATAAAACAGGATGCCATTGGCTTATGTTATTCTACCGTTCGGTTTTGAGTAAACACCCCTGTTCCAGAGGGAAAACATACCCCGCAGCAAAGGCAAGATGGTCGTGATCCAAAGTGGTGATAAACCAACATATAAAGAAGAAAAGGTGCAAATTGAGATGCAAAAGCAAGATTATGCATAGCGAAAATACCACAACATGCACATCAACTTACACATAAACATAAAATGTAATATTGCATTATTATAATCCTGTATTACAAAATCCGGTATTAAAAAGTGAAATTTAACAATACCTTAGAGCCATTGATTTTCATTGCAAGTGTCCAGCCTCCACCACACCCAGGTATATCCATTTTGCAAAAATGGCGCCCAATGTGCAGCCGATAGACACCAGAAGGAGCATCTTTTATATCAAAGTACGCCTCTTTGCAGCTGTGATAAACTTTGAGAAAAATTATTCGAAGACATTTCAACTTGACAATCTGATAGAATCATAAACATTGGTTTCTTAACTGATTCTTAACTGACTTTTTTGGTGTTGTGTACCCACAAAGTGATTGTTCTACATTTTTGGTGACGTATGCCTACAAGCAAAAGAAAGACACGCAGACCTCTCTGCTATATCTATTTAGTGACTATTCGTTTTTTTTCTATACACGTACAAAGCTGTCTATTTTTCCAATAGAATATGTAAGTTGCGTGTGGAACTTTATCCAAATAACGGCAATATAATGAGCGAAAAAATTAAGTACCAAAATGAAATTGATTGTTAACAATATGACGTTTCGAGCATGAGGGTTCTGCTCTGTTATCAGTGTATCTTTGTGTTATTTCTGTTATAGTATAGACCTTAAAGAGACAATATCGAGTAAAAATTGAGAGTTATTCTCTTTGTGTCCCTACTGCAATATACAGAGTGTCATATCGACACACTATTAAAAGAATCTAGCTGAACCAAATTCTGTTCATTCATACAATGATTTTCAAATCGAAACAGCTTACCTTTCTTCTCGAGTCGGTCCTGACGCTGCAAAGAATAGATGTTGTCTTAAACTTTCTTGATCAAAAACAAAAGTACATTCTCATGTCCTCAACAGTCGAGAAATCAAGCATTAGTAGCGGATCTCTCCAGTTGGAGGATTTATTCAGAGATAACCGGTGCAAAAAAGAAAATTTGAGATTTGGTGAAGGTATCAGGACTCACTCATTCTGATTACCAAACCACTAAACAAAAACTCTATCCGTAAAATCTTGAGTAGTAATGCTTTAACTTTTAAGGTTCCACTCCCAGGGGGCCACTTGATCTTTTTATATAAAAGGGGTCCATCCGATAATTGTTGATAAGAATTTTCTTTGAGATCTGATTCTTTTAGGTATCTGATTTAACAATACACCGTTTTGATACTTTTGGGTTCAACTAACACATTACAATATCAAAAAACAGAAATAACAGAAAATATATGTGTTTAAACTGAAAATTATAGGAAACAGACTAATTTACTTTAACTAAGTTTTTCTTATGTGCTCAACATTACTTTGTTGGTGGTATCAACACTTTTTAGCTGACAATTTGGGTCTGTTAAACTTGTTCAGGATACTTTTAGGTAAATTTTCATAACTGCGGATGGACTTCCCACTATGTAAAATGCTTGAGTGACTCCCTTGAGTGGCTCGAATTCCAGATCTGCCTCATCATCTTTTCTATACGTTCAGTTGTAGCTTTGATCACTCATTACTTTCTTTGTCTTGGGCATGGTTTTAGAAATAATTTGGGGGCTCCCCCTTCCACCCCCGTTAAAGTTTACATCTGTTTAATTGTATCTTGACAGGGAACCATGGAAGCGGGGGCTGAAGGGGGAGCCTCCAAAATATTTATAAATTTTACCCTTAGATTATTAAAGCTATAAAATGAATGGCCTCCTTCTATGGAAATTAGCTTCACATTCTTGACAGGCTCATACTGTTCACGGTTTGCCTGCTTACGAATTGACCTTACGTCTCGTCCGCTCAGCTGGTCGATTTGACTGATATCTTTTCAAAATCTAACCATATGCATGCAACCACCACCAAATCCAATGCCGAGTAAATTTTCCCTTTTTTCATTGTAGTAATTTGTAAAATTGTGCGTAGTTTTGACTTTTCTTTTAAGCGCCATGGGGTAGTCATAGTCTTTTGCTCCTCATGGTATAGTTCTTGTAGTATTGTTAAGGAATTGTAGGGAAAGTAGCATGTAATATGCATTGTAAAATTTTTAATGGAATATAAAAAAAGTAGGGAAACAAAAATCATTGTGGAATCCAACTCCAACATTGATAAAAAAGATGAGCTACGCAGGGGTGACAGTTTGTACTGTGAAACTGGTTTTCATCCGCCTCTGAGAACGGGATATAAAAAGTTATCCAAAATATAAGAATTAGATCTTGTCTCTCGTGACTTTCATAAAGTCAAAAGTCATGGTGTTGGTTTCTAAAACAGTCCAGTAGCTTTCGTACATTTCTACATTAACAAGATGTACATAGTCGATTCGAGTGGATAATGCTTGCTGAAATTTCTCGAGAAATTGTACTTACAAAAATCAAAGAAACAGAGCAAAAGCCTTATGACCAAAATTAGCACCAATAAGGGATTTCTCTCGTGTAAATGGGGGCTCAGGGAAACCTGTAAAATGTCGACATTTAGATGACAAGCGTAAACTTGACGTTCATGTATATAAATTTTGCACAAAGCAGCATCCAGTTGTTTGCCAAAAGACATGTTTATGGACTTCAATATTTCACCTTGCTTGAAATAACATTGTCTGTAGAGCTGAACAATAATTGTGGAAAAGCATTAGCGAAAGTTTGACTTAGAAAACCAAAAGAGTTACATCCTTTGGGCGATATTCCTTTGTCTTAAAGATAGGACAAAGAAACGAATTGCTTGTACTATTACTTTCTTTTTGCAGTTCATCTATGATGATCTAACTAAATTGCTACCTTCATCGACATCGCAAAAAGCAAAACTTAAAAACGATTCTTACCTTAATAACAAGACTTTTCCAGCCATGTACTTCGACAAACGATGAACAAGTTCCATTTAGACTTACTTCACAATTCTTCTTGGTACTTTGCTTGTTGTAATTAGCTGCTTCACATTCGTCGTGTCGTAAGCATCGATGAATGCACTGGATCTCGCTGCTGACCGTGTAGACTTTCATTTCCTCATTTGAACATAAGCACCGCTTGCCTTCAAAGAATTCTGAGACAAAGCCTGATTCTGTTGCAACGCTGGTCACCAAGAGGGCCAAACTCAGCAGAGCTCTGTGTCCCATGCTAGCCTTGTCCTGAAGGAGAAATACCACCTGATTTAGTTTTCAGTGGTTTTTTAGAAGAAAATGTAACGATCATTTGTGTTTTTGTTGATAAAACTCAATTATATCTTTATTGACATTAGATAAGACTTTGAGCCGCTCAAAAAACTAACAGAACATGTCACAAACGAACATATTGTAATAACCTAACAATTTTATTCAGTGAAGTGTAACGAACAAATTTTACTTAAGCAATATTTTTTTCAAATGTTTTTTTTCTTCTGCTTCCACCTACTACTTCGTCTTCAAGTTTATTCCTTGTTTAATTTGATTTTCGCCTTGTCCTTAAAACACATTCTCTATTTATGTAAAATATGCATTGCATAAAAAGTAAACTTTCAAATAAACTTGCTTAGAAACCCAGTAACGAGCTAGAAAGATTGATAACAAGAGTATCGAACTGTATACACAGCTGCAACAGTAGCGTGGCAAATGCAGCAAACAGCGGAGGCGAGCTGGCAAACCAATTCAGTAACCTTAAATATGCTAAGCAAAATAAAGTAAGTTAATGTAAATCATAACCAGTGTAAGGGAAAAGTAGAGGGAAATAAACAAGGCTTCCATTTGATATATCACGAACAAAGTATAGTAACCACTACCTCGCTGCATGTTGTTTCGAGGCCTTCTTCCTGACGACTAAACAATATTGCTTCTGAAGCTCTCTCTTTGGTTGCCATGACACAAAGAAAATTTCTTCTTTACGTGATATTTACATTTTTTTAATTGTTAAATAAACATTGTTAGATTTCAAGGATCAAATTTGTCTGTTTTCATAGCAACACATCTAATAGATTTTCAGAAAAAGCCATTTGCGTGAAACAGGTGCACAGGTTAATGCCTTGCTGATTCAGAATCTCATATCTCAAAATTGAATTGTTACTACATATAAAATAGAAATTTTTCCAGATAATTCATTGTGAGCTGAACAGTTTGTAGAAAGCTAGCCGTCAAGCCTGAAGTTAGCCTTGAAAAAGCTTTGGTGGTCTAGTTTCTATTGAGTGATTTAAATTTCGTTACGTTAGCCCTATAGCTTAGCCTGGTTGTGTTGTAGACGGAATTCGAATGATGCGTTTTCCGGGGTGCCTGATGAAAATCTTAACTGTTTTCACTCTTGAGCTAATTCACACACTTACATATTTAGAGACAAAGTTCCATTTTACATTTTAAAATGGCAGAAGTGCAATATTTCCAGCACCCTAAAAAATCCACAAAACCACACATGAAAGTTGTATGAATGAAAAAAGTTGTAAGAATGAAAAAAGGAACACCGCAATCAACTGAGATGCAGCAGAAAAGGACAATAGGTTGAACTAATGTGCCAAGATAAGAATGCGATAAAATTTCACTTGATTTGAACCAGTAAGAGCAGTTGAATGCTTGCAACCAGCTAGAACTTTTGCAACCGAACGAATTCGTGCAGCGAGAAATAAGAAGATAAATGTTTATGTACTTTGTTAAGATTAAAGATTTTACCAGACATTGTCTATAAACTCATTCCGAGTTTAGAAAAATTTTATTCATTGAAAATGTGGTAAGTAATATACCTTGATTTAAGAGATGGGAGATAGTTGGGAGATTGAGAATTGACCAATCTAGCGTATTGTCTAACTATAGACCAAATGAATTTAATCACGTTTAATGTACGCCTTTTCGGAAAAGGGGTACGCCTTTTCGGTGCCCCTTGGGCTTTTGTTTTCGTCACAGATTGCACGATTATTGAGTTTGTGATCATTGTAGCAGTGCTCAAGTAAGCATTACATTGTGTCTTTTAGACGGCCAAAGTAACAAGCGTGCAAGTGTGCAGTGGCCTTGAGTATGTAAACTTTATGTTGGCATAATTTCTTCCTCTTACGTTACATGACAACATGAAGTTGAAATATAGAGAACAATGGTTTTCACTTGCGACCCTGCCCACCCAACCCATAACTGGATATTTTCAGGTTTTTACTTGCATGTTAACTTTCTACTTCCTTTCTTCGTGCATTAGTTCATGGCCGAATGGCCTGCGACTTTTGCATAAACAAAGTGTTGCCAGTCGGCGTTAGAAGGCCCTTGTATTTTCTTCTTAACTCCCTCAAAAACGGTTGGGGTTTTATCTATTGCCGTCTTAGCGATTGGCGCACCGACAGCCCAACAAATAAATGGTCCAAATGATGAGAGAAAGCCACCTTCAGTCTTGTGATTGATAATGATCAAATATTCTGAGGACCATCTTACCCTCATTTGCTAACGGTTTTTGTTTGTTAACCTGGAACAAATATCAAAGATCATTCCCTTTTTAATCGCTTCTTTGCTTAAAATAACGAACGATAGACGAAGGTATAATGCGATCGTATTTATTGACTTCAATTTATTGACTTGGAAGCAATTGATCATGGAGCTCTACTTAAACACTGACTAATCGATATTGAGAATGCACGGTTTGCGTCTTATGCAAAAAGAAGGCAAAAAAGTACTACAAGGTTCTTGTCTTGGTTTTTTTTATTCTTCCATTATAGCAATGCTTTGATCGAAGACCAATGACTAAATTAATAAACTGCCCTTAAAGCTCCAGTCATGTCTGTAGGATATTGTTCTACCCTTTTGAAGATCTAAGGCAAAAGCTTTTCTCACAAAGGTCCTATTGTTACTGTTATCTCACAAGGTGAAACTGCTTAGGATCTTAACATAATGGCAAAATTTTCCTAAACATTTTCAACTTCATTTATAATGTACAAACTCCACTCAAGAATATCAATGCTACAAACAATTATACGCTTGTAAAGATATTACGTATAGGAAAACCAGCGACCTAAAATACAACCCACTTCATTATACCTGGCACATTCTTTGAGAACAAAACTAGCTAGACCCTAGTTATAATTAGAAAATATCTCTTTCTTTTCGGTTGGAATGCCATAATCTACAATAAATTTTACTCTACGCCTTGAAAGCTTAGCGGATAAAACCAACCGACATCTCCCACTTCGACCTACGCTGTGAAGGCGCTGTAAAGACCTCTAAATATAGGAATATTGATATATTTTGTAAGAGTTTATTATATATCTTAATTTGCCAAAAAGTCAAGTTGTATATAAAAATGTTTTTAATAAGAATACCTTAACTTTTGCTGAGCCTCAATATCCTGTAGTCTGTGATTTTGAGCCTGAAATCATGCTTAAATCATTAATTTGTAAAGTTAAGAGATGTATAAAATTAAGACAAATTTTTATGATTATAAAACATACATGGTAAAGGTATAGGACATACCTAAATGAAGATCCCAATTCTCCAATTACCAGACTAGACGCTATGACACCTAACCGATTCCACGTTTCTGCCTGAAACTAAATGACTAAGTTTCTCTTTCAGCTCCATGAAAATCAGAACAATCCAAAACAATATCAGAAGTTTAAACTCTCTGTGCAAATGTTTATAAAGCACTAATGGATATTTATGGACACAAAACTTCCCAACGTGTGGATTTTGCTTTTTTTTAAATTTTCTTCATTACAGTTGTTAAATTTTGCATTAACATCATAAAATGCATTTTGGGGTGCTACACCGTGCTATTTGCATGCTAATTTATTGCGAGTAATAATATTCTCAAATCAAGTATAGAGCGCTGTGGTGCTTGTCGTTAAATATGGGTGAATGTAATCTCCAGGAATGGCTGAGCTAAAATATTAATGAAAGGTGGAACCACATTTGATTCTGATATCATCTAAAGATCTCTCCCACCCAAAATCGTTTTTATTGCTTTGTTAGCCTCAACATAGGTGTTTTCACAAAGTGAACCATCCAGAAATTCGACTATACCAACTCGCTCAGCACTGTATCATATCTCTTCTCTAAATCTAAGAAGACACAGCATAACTTTGGCTGCCTTCTAGAAGCATCTTTGGTGGCTGTGTTTTTGATTAAAATAGCATCTCCTTTACTTTCACTTTTCACAATTTCAAATTGCACCCTATTAATTTTTACATCTTCACTAAGCCTCAAATCTAGCAGCCCTATTTGTAATGTTTATTAGAGATGATACACAGTAACAATGGATAACTCCTTTGCACCTAAAGCGTGTACTAAAGAATTGAAAAAGCAAAGTGAATACAGAAAGCAAAATTTCCTTGAGAAAAGCGTTACCGTTAAACATAAAAATGGGTGTGGTCCCAGAAATCTTTGTACCTGTCCTGCCTTAAATATACTAGAGCACGCTACAGCCCTTCATATGATTTTCCTCTGAGTCACTAACTGTGTTTGACATTCCCTCATCAAACGAAGCGTCAAATGACCGTTGGTGCGTCGGCGCAATTCACTCCACCTTACAAATATAAAGTTATCTTCAATTTAACTTGAGGCCTTAACTTACAAAGCGAAGTTAAATTCTGAGCAGGGATTCCATCCTAGATACCTAAGGCAGACCCCTGGTGATATATCAAATTCTACAACATTCCTCGTGAAATTAACTCTGATAACACTTTCCTCGATCAGCATTAATTGTTATTGATTTAATTTATCGATGAAGGAAGTTTTTTGGAGTTTTGCTGGCAGCTGGTAAGCAAAAGTGAAACACCTGCTATCTGTGTTCATTTCCAATGTTTTAAAAACAAATATTTAACTTGAATATAATCTTCTTCTGGAATTTTTCATAAACATATTGATTGCTATTTGCCTTTGGTAGTTTACATGTATTTTGAAGTCCATGATGGCTTGGAAAAAATTAAAATTAGCCAAAAGTATATTGAGTTTTTTAGCGTGGCACTTTGAGGCCGTTTAAATTATTTATTTGATGGAATAGGGTTGCCTTTCATGGAATTTAAATTCTGATAAGGTGAAGTCTCTAACTTTAGTTCGAAGAAATGTGTACTAAAGAATGAAAGATAACTGAAACGTGTTAGTCTTTGGTAGAATCTCGCAATTTGAAGGAAGGGCAAAACAGAATGAGCTATGTTTAATTATTCATGTTTAATGAGTTTATGATTGAAGTCATTCTAGACTGAATAGTTATTATATTCTTAAAAAGCTGAAATACACTATGCATTTAAATTGATTCGATTAAATGGATAGCTGGAAAATGAACAGTGTAAACGCAAAATTGCATGCTAAAATGGCTGTTTCGACAAAGTGAAAATTCCTTTTAAAAAGTTGGATGTGTTCAACTTTCGTCCAACTTTTTTTTATTGTATTCTTTATTCCTCTTTCAAGCCTATTGTCTTTGATGACATACACTGCACTTTAAAGACTTCACTCCATCAGCCAGGTTATTTTCTTGTTCACGCTGCTTATTGAAATTCTTATAACTGGCTGCAAAGAGTCAAAGAATTAAAAAAAGGCGAAGAGTTTATAAATTTAGGGAGAGAGAAAAGCTGTCTTTGGGACGCAAGATCGCGTCTGTATCGCAGAAGAGATGCAAGACAAACAAAATTAACGAGCCCTGATGAGAAATTTATCTTTACTGGTATTGCCTCTCGCAGCCTTGTGTTGATTTTTTTAAATACCAAATTCAACGAGTTGCAGAGCTCGTTGATATTTTTGCAAAACATTTTCAAGAACCTTTGATACTCGTCGCCTTCTTCCGAAGGAAATTCTTGCAAAAGCATGTTATCAACTCCTAGCACATTTTTCGGGTCAACCAGGGCTTAACCGAGACGGATCTTTGTTGCCTATTTAATTTTTCGCGCATAAGTTTTCGTTTTTTATAAGCAATTGCAATATTATGACAGAAGCAGCAACATTTCATTATGCCATGATGAAATGAGGAGACACTTTAAAAATACTGATTCAATTTAATGGATGAGTGTAAACGGAGACATTTTTTCATTTAAATGGATCATTTAATCGAATTGAATGCATAGTGTATTCAGCCAGAGATGTCCAGTTCGTATTGCAGGTACGAAATATGCACGTGCACGATTATCCGATATATTGTCCGTGACAACCTATGCCTAGAGAACTTGAAAACAATTATGCACTGTCTGTAAACTTCCAAGAAGGACTGTATATAGCATGCAGCCGTATACAGCATTGTCTTTCATGGCATGCGCATTTAGAAATGAATCTTAATACAGCCATTATGTCATGTGAGAAGCTCAACCAGCCTAAAATTTCACCATCGTCAACACTGCCAATTCTTTGGAAGATTGGCAAAACTCTTCTTTAAGTCTCAATATCGATAAAAATAGTGCTTCTATATTAAACATAGTAATGCTTCTTTTTCTATTACACAGCCTCAGAAAGAATTTTTATTGGATCCCACATCCATTTATAAGCACTTCTGTAGTCACTTTGTGTAGCCACGGATTTTCTCGTGCTTCTAAGATCTGCCACCAAAGTCTTTCTTGTTTTACTTGAAGTACCTCATCATCCAAGGGGACAGAAATGTATTTCATTGACAATCTAGTAAATAGAATAAACAGAAGAGAGGACACCGCACAAGAATGAAAACACAAAGTTTACTGCTCGCAAATCCCCTATTTGCTTCATGTAAATCATAATAACGCTGGGTTTGGAAAATAACATTAAAGAACAATATTTTTTAATTTGCAACAAAGTTCTCTACATTTTCTTACATTGTAATCAAATCAACGAAAATAAGATTAGTTTCCTTTGAATGTAATGCTCGATATCCTTCCAATCACTTGTGCTTTGGCATCGGCTCATCAACCATGTTTTGCTTCTATCTTCCTTTGCTCGTTAACATCAGGATTGAAATTGTTAAGTCAGTGATATTCTGATCAACTGTGATGCATCACAGTGTACAGAGTTCTGCATCATGAAGACTTGCAAATACGTATACTTGTATAATAGTAATACTTGGTATTTCTCTACTCGGGAGCCAACTAGTTGTTAATTAGCTATCAAAAAACTAATTTTATAGTTTATCATTAATCTGCAGTTTGCATCAAGCTATATGCTTTTCATTGCCTTGTGGTGTCTATACCATCTAAATACAACACAATCTGTATTCAAATTCATTCTAAATAGATCAGATGACAGTTACCAACCCCGACTAAGCAACTGACATCCAGACGAGGAAAGCGTTATTGCCATCCTTCCAATGATTTTACTAGTAACTCATGAAGATCCTGGGGGGTGTAACATCCCCAACAAACTCCCGTCAGACAAACCCAAGCCTACCAAGGCATTATTTGTCATAAAAAAGCACTTTAGAACTTTCTGCAAGAGCCTCTTTGCAGCTATGTCAATGCAAAAGTATACCTTTTAGAAATAGTTTTAGTCATCTTAAGTCCTGGATATGTCATGATGCATTGTGCACATAATGACGCATTGCTTACATATCATCTACTAGCAATAGGCTTGCCTAAAAGGTTAACAAACATACTTCACCTCTTGAAAGTATTGAAAGCTGTTAGCAAGAGAGAATATCAATAACGGGCGCATATTCACTAGCTTTTGCTCTTCCTTGCTGACAGAATAGCAGAACAGCAAAATAAATTAGCAGGAGTTTTCATGCGTTTCTTCATGATGCTAATACGGTAAAGCGTATTTGAATCTACCATTTCCAAAAGAGATTATTTGGTTACTAAGATAAACTTTATATTCATTTGCCAGCTATCCATTTACTGTATCAATGCTTCTTTTCTTTACTGTTTCGAAAGCTACAGCAAGATTTAGTGTCGCCAAACAAGTATTACATTTTTGCTAAAAGAAGATGCTTGACATTACAAATGTGGCTGATGGCATGCCCTTTCAGACACAAAACAAGATCATTGTAACTGTTAATATATAAAAAAGATAAATTTTAAAGAATGCAATAGAACTTCAATGTTTAACACCAAGCTCCAGGGTCTGGTTTCTTGGGGGTTTCTTTAGCACAATTCCAGGCTTAGCTTTTAATTGATATCAACAATCACACGGTATTTTGTTGAAATATCTCGGATTTAAAAGTATAAATTACCCTTTTAGAGCAATTAGATGCCCATTACTCCATCAGTGCTTTTGAGTGATTTTGATGAGACCCTCAACACCGCCTATGCAGCTAAACAAATTAAAAGAAGCGACATTGCATTATAAAATGCATGTATTGTAGCTTGCTCCAAACACATCAGATCTCTGCTGCATTGGTAAAAGAATTAAGAAGATTTCACAGGTACACTGTTTCTTGGTTCTTGGTTATCATTTAAATAGCATTGTATGAATCAGCTCTTTTACGTATCCTATGCACAAATCCAAGTAATGCTAGTCACTTTATGTCAATCTAGGTTCCTAGACTGGAATGATTGACAATTTTGAACTCTGCTTTTTCAAGTGGTTTTTTTTTAGATAACCCATTTTCTATTTATTCCATAGTCGATTTTTATTCATGTTTCAGCACTCTTTTTGCTTTCTCTACAGGCGACGTAACATCTACGAAGGCAATTTAAAATTGCATGTACCATGATCAAGGCATTATCTTTGATCGTGATTTTTGCCGGTTTGGCCAATTATGCAGCAGCAAGAATTGCAGCAAAATCTGTACTGACTAAAGTCTCAAGCCAACTCAAAGTGGCAAATTTTGGGCTAGGTGTATACTCCAGATCGTCAATCATTTCAGCTATCTCCCAAGCTTTGCGAGGAGATAACGAGGAAGATGTCAAAGAGAATCTCAATCAAGCAATTGTCACGTTGGCCGTGATGGACATTGGAGGAGGAGCACTGATCCCAGTAACGGAGACTGTTGTTGAAGCGATTTCAAAAGATGCAACTTTCAAAGCTACTTCAGATGCATGGAAAGATTACAACGTAAAGATAAAGGATCAACTGGATACTGACTTAAAGACTCTAGATGACACAGCTGTCAAGAGAGTTTTGAAGGAAGAAAAATCTAAGGTGTTGAAGGCATTTGAAAGTGATGTGGCAAAGTTGCAGACAGTGCCAGGCAAAGCAAAAACGTACAATCTTATCAAAAAGGCACAGAAGTGGCTCAAAGTGAAATCCGTCACCAAAGTACTAGGACCTATTTTCGATGTAGTTGGAATTGGCATCGATGCATGGTCTCTGAGCAGTGCCATTAAGGACTGTAATACTGACCCAGCGACTTGTAACTACGGTGAAATCGCATCAGCATCACTTGGTATTGCTTCAAGTATTGTTGGCATTGCTACATTCGTGGCCTCTCTGGTGGTAAGCTCATCTGTTCTTGGACCAGTTGGTGCTGTCGTTGGTTTGGTACTAGCGATTGGAGCAACGCTAATCGAATTGTTCTACGAGCCGCCCGTTGATCACGCTAAGATCGAGCGAGAGAGAAAATTCAGTATGATGATGGAATTAGACCGATATTCAAGATACCAACTATACACAGCAAGTAAGATTCTCAGTGACAACGACGTTGACAGAAACGATCTTTATGTGGTCAACCAGGGACATATGCCAATGTGGGGAATTTTGAACCCTAGACCCGTGCTAGACTTTGGTAAAAGAAAACCGCTGGGACTAAAGAGAATATCAGATGAATTTAATATGAAATGCGAGGATCCAAAACAAAATGGCCAGTCTGTGAATGGGTATGTTTGTGAGTATTTGCTGGAAAGTAACCATTACGCAAGCAGTGGATTTAACCTTGGACATGGATTCTATGGCTTAACCAAAAATGGTGGCACGCGTGTGTCCGGAGCTGTACCGCCTGGATTACCACCGTATGAAGGTTCGATGATCCTGATAAATACCGACCAAGTGCAAAGCAACGTGCTTCAAGAAAACAATATGTTTGCACATTTGAGGGGCTTCGAAATAAGGACAGACATGAAAACAAACGACAACAAACCCTACGACGACTTGGTTGCCCTGGGAGCAATGCCGACCATTCGCTCCGATCAGAAAATCATCATCCGTACCGGAGCTGGGAATGATGCACTCAATATTGACGGAGCAATTGGGTTAATACAGCAGAATTATCAGAACATACTAGACGCTGATCTTGGTAGTGAAGGACACAACACCCTGTCGTTTAATGCATACGATGGTGTGGCGTACTCTCAGAATATTCACTACGATGCAAGAAGCGGAGTGTGGTCAACATTTGGAAACGGATACCAACATCAGTTTGGAACCATAAAAAATGTAGAAATACTTGCAGGTTCGGATTACTCCGACAGAATTACAATGCATGCAACAAAAAAAGGCGAGAGCGGATTTGATTTCACCGTCATCAAACGAAAAGGATATTCTGAGTACAAAATAGACGTAGGAGCACTCGCAAAACAAACAGAAACAAGGAACTTCAAAATCATCGATTCAACAGAAGGAGGCCTCAGGGATGCACCGTATAACCCTTGCGACGCATACTCTCCCAGCCTCGAGCTCCTCAACTTTGATATGGAAGCTTCTTCCAATGATGTCCTTTATCAAGGTAGACAATTAAAGATTTACGGCTTGCGACAAAATGCTAAGAAGCGACGCAGTGCAATGAGACAAGGGTCTAAGTTAGTAAAAAGAAGTTCGTACTGCAGCGGAGAGAATTCTATTGGCATCCATGAAAAAGGAGGACAAGATGGGAAAGTGCTGCTGGCCACGGTAACAGTGCACTCAAAATGCTCCCTTGCAGTGTCTTCAAGTAATGTGAATGGTGGCTGCATGGCCTATATGAGAAGCATTAACAATTTAGATATTGTATTTTACGAGGGAATGAACACATCTGCTGATCTAAGCTCATCTATAGAAATGAGTGATAAAAGCGATCTTATTCATTTGGTGTGTCCTGATTCACCAGTGCAGTTTAGTAACAGCATTAACATGAAAGGCAGCACGGGAGACATAATAATTCTGAGTTCGAGCAGGTTTCTTGAACCATGTGGCATAGATGGATATTACAAACGCATGTTGATTAATAGGAAGTATTGGAAAACCCTCAATGGTGTCGTCAAGTACAAATGGGAGCTTGAACTTCACAACAACCCTAAGTTTCCAGTTAAAATTGGAGAGGAAAGTGGCTGGAAGCATGTTTTGATGGGCGTGGAGAAAATTGTCAACGAATATGGGGATGTGGTTGTTAATCTTCGGAGTGGAGAGGGCGAATTTTATGATTTGTATCACGAATACACAAAAGCGACAATGAAGAGTGTTGGAGTTATGTACGGATCGACCCGCAGCTCGGAAATCAGAAATGACTTGCTCACGTGCATTCAAAGCGATCCTAGTGTTCCAAAACCAGATGTTTGCGAATAACGAAGCCCTCTAATGTTGCTCAGGAAAGACAATGAAAATGTTGAATATGATTGCTACAAATCAAGTTCTAATTTAATGCTCCTTAAATAAAATTCAATATACTTTATAATTGATGCAGATATCTCTAATGTTGTAAAAATAATATACGCTGTGCAAAATTTGCACCACTCTTTGTTTACTATCTCACTGTGCAAGTTATTTCCTGAAAGTATGTCTGGAACGCATACCGTAGATCTTCGAATTGCCCCCCCCCCCCTCGAATAAGCCCCCACTGCTAACGTAAATTCTCGAATTGGCCCCCTCCATTTGAGGTTGCCTATATGGCGTTTTATTAAATTACCACAAGAAATTCATACTTCTGGTAGTAATTAATTAAATGCTCATAAAGAGATTCCTACTAAAATAAACGAGGTTTTTTAATAATGTCTTCTCAATGCCTACAATAATTGTATAAGTCCCTCCCTCGTATAACCCCCTCCCCTCGAATAGGCCTCCATCCAAAAATATCAAATATAAATAAGCCCCCAGGGGGCTAATTCGAGGATTTACGGTAGTCCAGACCTGGGCATCTTACGGCCTGCGGGCCACATCCGGTCCTTTTGACCTTAACTGTCCGGCCCGCGTGTGTGTCAGCCAAATTTTCATAAATTTCTATAACCATTTACGTAATATCTATATCTTTCTGATAACTACTAGCGGTTTAACTATAGAATAATTTATTGTTTCTTTACATAGGAAGAGAATGAATTGCGCGTTCGACCCTTAAGCTCTGTTCAGGTTTCTCATGTGGCCTCTTGTAACAATTAATCGCCCACCTCAGGCAAGCCAATAGATCACAAACAGGCGCGGAGCCAGCCTGAATTCTGACCTATGCAAAAGTCGTCAGAAAGAGAGGCCACGCCCTTTTCTGTTGGAAGCGCCCAATTTTTTTCTGAAAAAAATCAGTATCACTGATATTGATATAGGGGGATCCAAAAAGGGATTCCAAGGAAACGACTTCCCAAAAGGAGAAAAAATCCACCTGCAATTCGAAGGAAAAAGCTTCCGTGCTGCTCGAACCCTGGAGGATTTGATCCAGGGTCACCCACATTCCGAACGTAGCGGTCTTACCACTATAGAACAGACAGTACAGAGTGACTGGCTTAGCTAATTGCTTAGCAGAGGTGAAGCAGTGATTGTCAATTTACATTTCATTGATTACAACAAACAATTGCATAGGTCCACTGTTAACAATTGCATACGTCAACTCTGATTCCTATTGGTTGGATGTACGGCTGCAAAGGCAACCTCGGCTTCTGATTCGATAAATCAAATCTCACCTATGCTCGCGCCAAAGATTGCAGAGGTGAAGTACACTCTGATTGGCTTTCAAGAGGTTTGCATAGGTCAAACAAGTGGTGATTGGCTCTCGAAAACAAACAAGTTTCTGGATTCAGAAAATACGGACCAGATAAATGCCTAGAATCGCCACTCGACTATTCTGTGCAGAGGCCGAGAAAGAGTCAGCAAAATAAATGCTCTGTCTTTTGCATGTTGTTGGTATCAACGGGGGCAGAACAAGGACGGAAGTTGCTGAAGAATTTGCCAAAAAAACTTTCATTTTGATGGTTTCAATTTCATTTTGTTGTTAGAAAAATCTGACTTATGCTTCTGCATAGGTTGCTGTAGTCTGGATCCGCCGATGATCGCAAATAAATGTTAAGTAAAGAATTACATGCATACGCAACACAAAAGCAAGCCCGTAGCCATGGAGTAGGGGTGGCAAACTCCCCGTGTTCAATGCAGGTGAAGTTTAAAGAAAAGTTTTTGTAGGGGTTTGGGGGGAGTGCGGTGGCTAGAGTGAGTGGAAACAAAAACTGACACTGATAATATCGCTGCCAGTTCTGACAAATCATTTAAGTGCTTGGGAACAAAGGCCCTTCTTCGCTGAATGTTGCTGACAAAAGATTTTTCCATTGGGTGTCTATACTATAAAATATTGTCCACAAAATTTCTTGTTCACATAGCTTGTGATTTTGAAATGCCCTGACCACTGTGAAGTTTTTGCTTGGCAGCGAACGTTTTTTTGAACGCCAGGCATAATCTGAAGTTCTACATGAGTAATAAGAAACACCCATAAGAATCTTTCCTTCCACCAGCATTAGCTTGAATCAAGTTGTCACGGCAAACCAATGACAACGAAAAAAACTGCATTAAAAATGTAGAGACAAAATTCTCAGGAATGGGAAACAGCTGGGACTCTCTTGCTCCAGGGGCATTGCCACCCCATGCCACCCCTTGGCTACGGGCCTGCACAGAAGGATGAATAATGTTCTGAAAAGCACTTTTTGGGTACTGAGCAGCTTAGCAACTGGATGCATATCGAGCATTGTCGTGGTCCAACCTCTCGATGTGACCACACGTCGTGATTCCTACGCGGTCCTTGGATCTGTAGTCCGCGACCCTAACCGCTAAGCCATCCTCAAAAAGATTTTGCCCGACTATGTTCATGGTCCAGGTTGTAATTTAACCCATTTTAACAGCTGTACAGGGGCGTCACTTTAGAGGAATATGGGGGGTGTGGCTCATCCCCCCAACCATGAAAGTAGGACCTTTTCGCAGGGCAAAACTGATTTTTGCAGAGCAAATGTTTTCTGCCAACGGATCCGTTTTTTGTTTTTCTTTTGTAACTGTAACAAGAAAGTAGGTTATGCCTGTCATTTGTCTACTCCAAAAGTAAAATGATACAGACTACAAGTGACACGAAGTAGAAATTGCCAGCGTGATCTTGGGCTGGATGGATTAGATAAAATTGATTCTGATTTCCTTTTACCTTTAAGTGTTACACCCATTTCTATTTTTACACCCTTGGTTGATATTTGTGTCTTATTTGAAAGCCGCACTAAAAAGACAAGCACCGCTTGCCAGAAAACTAAGACACTGTAAGTGTGGCTATTTGGGTGAAAATTTGATGGAATAGTTTTGCATATTTGGGTCTAAAACCAGAAGCGTGACTTTAAATAAGGGAGCCAACTATATACGGTTTTTATATCTATTTTCTGTTTATGATATAGGGGATATTGTATATCTTCTTGTAGGTTGACAAGCTTGTGTTTGCCAGATGAAGATTATGTCATTGATAAATCTTTTCCAAAATATTTGACTAACCCCATCGGCGCATTGCTCAAGATATGTTGTTCTATTGTTGTCATGGATATGTTGGCATAATTTGGGGCAAAGGTTTTTCCCATTGCGGTGCCTTAAGGGAGGTTAATAAAATTTGCCATTACATTCTTCTTTATAAGAGATAGTAAATTGAAGTTCATTCTTAGAGGGTCAATTTGGTTGAAAACCAGTATTAACTAGAATGCGTGTCGTTTCAAATAGAAAAGAGGAATAATTCATTAAGAATGATCTTTAATAAGTTTCTGAAATTCAAGCTCAAGATTCTAGCAGTAACTACAATCCCGGACAAAAATGTTGAGACAAAATGCAATTTTTGTAATTTTCTACTTTACCTTGTCCCTGTAAATTCGAATCCCCCCTTTCCCCCCAAAGCAATGTTGGATTTGTAATTCTATCATTTCTCCTTCAAAATATGCAATCAACATTGAATTGGGGGAGGGGGAGGGGAATTATTTTTTTAAAGGAAGATGAAAATATAAGCTTTCCTTTCTCAACCATTGTTGTCCGGGATTGTAGAATTGCTTCAGTGCCCAGCGAAGGCGCTCACTATTTTTCGCGTCGGAGGAGCATGGAATTTGGCGCGCTTTTTTTTGTGGCCATTACGGGAAGGGAACACACTGTTTTTAGAGGTACAATTTGAAGCGATGGAATTTTACACGGTTCTTGGTCTTGATCAAACACCAAAAAAACTCAGAAGGTAGCAAATCGGATTTATGTTTATATCATTTTTAATATTATTTTGTTCACAGGGCCCGTGCCAATTCATTCGCTAAATGGAAGAATAAATCAGCGTAAATTTTTATCTAGATAGACCTCTATATTACAACAAATACATTGAAGTGAACTAAGTACAAAAGAAACAAAATAGCGTCAGCAAAATGTTTCCAGAATTGGAGCTACATTAAGAGAAAAGATTCTTTACAGAAAACATTCTTTACATTGCTTGCCCCTCCGGTCTAGGCTCGATGGCGCGGGCCTAGGTTCATAGAAATTTGATAGACGGAAAATCAACGATGTAAACAACGAAATTCTGTCTGACCATAAAGTTGATCATTCATGCTGAAAAAGGATTATTATTCGAAGCTCAACAGAAACATTTTAAGGCCTAAAGGGCAATCTACTCTCTCAAGTAGTTTTCCAAAAAGGATTGTTGTTTACTTTGTTTACTTTACGATTGTGGAAAGCAAATGAAATGAAAATATTTTGGTAGAGAGGCAAGCACCCAAACAAAATGCAATAACACTGAATTTTATCAATGCACTATTTTCACACCATAATTATCGTCAGCCTCAGTTTTTTTCTACTGCTGCTTTCTTGAAAAACGTATCTCTGTCATACCTAGAAACAGTAAAACTTTGCCGGTTCAAATTGCAGAATATCGTACAAGTAATTGTCGCTTGTTAAGCTGATGAACTACTTCATGTACAGTTCTGGCGATCTAGAAAAACGATTTAACAATAAACAATTTTTGATAGTTTTTTCATATTTTCAGTGTTGGAGAAAGCTGTGATCTTTATTGCTATTTCCCGCCACCCTTGCCTGAGTTTTTTGTTGTCTTCTGTTTACAATGGTCAGAAAAAATGAAAGAAAAGATGTCTGTGCAGTTATTTTTGGATAGTGATGACAGAAATATTTGCAAAACAATAGGAGAAGTTTCAAAAGATTCTTCAGCAATATGTTTCAAAGGGGATTGGAATGAAGATGAGGAATCAATTGCTGATGAAATTCAAGCAAAGGTTTGAAGCCAACACATTTCAATTCATTATTCCTTCTCTGCTCGGGGCTCTGCTCTCCTCATGCTCTTGTTGTAGTATATGCTATAGGCTGAAAGAATGCCTTACCAAATAATGATGTCTTATCTGTTTTGGACTTGATCAGTTTGATCATTCTGTTTTGGACTTGATCACTTGATCATAAACTTACGCATTTGTTAATGAGACAGAGGTATCTAGTAGTGGCACAAGTTGTTAGTAGAAATTCAAAAGGGTGCTGTAGCAAGACCAAAGTGACAAGATTGGTAAAGGTTACAGAGGGAAGCAGAGCAGGCCTAGCAGGGGGCTTAGGGGCTTCCCCAGAAATTGTGACCATACCCTTTTTTTCAAAACTAACACATTTTTTTATAAGAATCCCTATTTTCGATTTTGAGCCTAAGATTTTTCTGAAATTTTTCTTGCTCAACACAAGGTGTAAATTCGCCTTAAGATCAAAGAAAAATATTAAATCTTTTTTGATGTGTTGGTTCATCATAAATGTCAAGGTGACAGTTGTTTTGCTTTGGGAGAAAACTCAGATTAAGGAAAAATTTTAGTCTTGATGAAATTAAGCCTGGCATTATTCTTAAATTATTCTTAAATTTTAGCAATTTTGATCCTCAATATTCTTAAAGACTTTACTCTTATAAAAAAGTGTGTGTTTGAAATTAGCCATTTTATTGGCTTAGCACTGACTTGCTCCAAAATGGAGATATTGAAAGAAATACTATTGCAGGAATATTAAATTTTCAAACTAATTCCTAAACAAATCAGTATATACCTTCTAACTGTGTCAATACCATACATTGCAGTTTTTGTAAAAGTTTCTCTTAAAAGTTTATCTTTAAAGTCACTACTGAAATTGGATATTTTTGGATACAGGGCAGACTTCTGAAGCTATTAATAACTCCAGCTGATCCAGCAAGTGATGATATGGACTCACAAGATTCAGGCATATCAAGTGAGACTGTTTTGTTTTCCAAGAATGAGCTGTCACCGAGAAGCAGGTCTGATTCAAATGAAAAAGAACAAAAGAACAAGAAACCTTTCAAAAGGGAAAATAGAAAAACGTTACTGGACTTTTCGTTTGGTGAAACAAAGAAGTCCCAACAAACAAGGTACAGATGATAATCTTTAAACTATAACCAAGAATTATAAACCTTTGTTTGCATTGACATGGTCAAATAATGATAACCATATGGCTACCACCTGTTTGGATTCCATTGATATTAAATTACTGACTTAGATGATTAAGCAGTTTAATTTAAATTGATCAGAAGATCTGTCATTGAATGGACTCTCTTTCATATTAACAAAAAGTCTGCAGACTTGACTCAGGAAAAAAGTTTTGCTCTTAGATTAAAATCAAACACAATTGTCGTCTACTCTGCACCTTTAAAGTTTTTATTAAGTCTTTTGTGGCTTTCTTTGTTTAAAAACTAAAACCTCAAGTAATATTCATATTTTACATTATGCATTTTATTTTTGTGCTCAGTTATTTCGATATTTTTTATCCTGATGGCAAGGTGCAACCCTTGGTTTAAAAAAAAGTATATAATGGTTTTGCTTTTTTTATTTCTAGAGGTGGACCTTTGAAAAGAAAATCTATTTTTGACTTTGATGATGATAAAAAAGATGAGCGTAAAAAGCATATCAATGGTGAAACTTTAAAATATGTGAATAGCAATAAAGAGAATTCTAAGAAAATAAGTAATGACCTGATGTCACCCATAAAAAGAATGGAAAAGTCCATCAAAAAATCTCCTTACCGTTTCAAGAATCTCTCTGATAATAAAAGCAGAACTTGTACAACTGCAAAATCACCTGCCACACCTGGGCTGTTTGACCTTCAAGGTAAGAGGTCCATTTATTTTTTGGCTTTATCCACAGGAGATTATAAACTTCAATCCTGGATCTCAATTGTTGTGCTATTTTAGTTGGACAAAGTTTTCTTCTCTATGTTTACTCAATCTTGTATCTTAGATGCTATACAATGCAAGATATTTGCTATTTTGAAATCTTGCTTTGGCTATCTATCACACATTCCACAGAGCAAAATAAAAATGTTTGGCTAGAGTTACCAGTAGAAGCGAATATCTGCTTTTAAAGGGGCTGCGTCATGTGACCTTAAAAAACATTTTGTGTGGGACAATATGTGTGTAAGAGGGATTTCGTTTACCAATTATCAAAGCAGTGTGTCTGACAAAATGGCAGGCCATGTTATCTTGATGCTTGCAGCAATGTTTCACTTTATAAGAACCTGGGACATACTGACATACTGTCCCATCGGCCAAACGCTCATTAGGAAGTTCACTTCTTGTGTTTCCATTGCAGTACGCTTCTTTTCCATGGACAGATCAATTAAATGATGTTGAAATATACTTAGAAGTTCTTTCAGGCTTTGGCCATGAAAAAATAACTTTTTAGTAAGAAAATATGTTAAAATCTTCTAGATGCACTGCGATTCTCTGTTCTACCAAATCTCACTTCAGTTGCTGTGTAGAATCATTCCACCCCATCCACAAGCATCTACACAACAACATTGTCCTGTGGCCTTTCATGTGACCCAGCCCCTTTAAATATTCGTTATTGTAAAAGGTCATGCATAAAAGGCATTGAACCATGCTTTGTTCAATAAGAGGCCCAATGTTATGTTTTTCTTTGTTTGTTCAGTTTCTCAGGAATACAAAAGATGTGGCTGAACCCTTGTTAATTTCCTCATCCTTTATGAATCAATGCTTTCTTTACCAATAGAACTACAGACATCCAACAAGTGCAGTCTTTTGGATATTTTATTCATTATCCTGTTATACTTTCTTTTTCTTTCATGACAGAACCATCACCAAGATGGGGACACACATTCTGTGAAGTTGAAGCTGACAAGGCCATTCTCATTGGTGGGCAAGGTATGAGGAATCAAATATGCAAAGACTCTATCTGGCAGTATAACTTTGGTACGTAAGCAACTTTTATTAAGCTAATTAAGCAGGTCTTACTACAATCACAGGAAAATTTTAAGACCAGCTATTTAACACTACTTTAAGACAATTTTGATGCTATTTTCTACTGATGGATCATGACTAAAATCTTCTATTTGCTTTTCAAGTGTTTTCAAAAAAAGTGAATCAAATGTTGTTCATGGTAATGTTTTGTCTGGTCTAAGTGAAATGGCCAGAAGTAATGTGTAATCATATTTGGAAAAGTTTTCACTAAAATCCATCTAATAGGCTAAGGCCAACATTCCCTGTTTGGTCAGTTGGAAAATTTTTAAGCACTGAAAAATAAGATGAAGAGAAGGCTTAATGCTTTAATTTTCAAATTACTCAATCCATCAGTTGTCCAAACAAAGCATTGGTACTTTCCTTGATGTTTTTGGGACACAAAAAACCAAAGCCTTTAGTAGTGTGACACTGTTGTGTCTGCTGCTCCCTTGAGCACTCCAGCAGTGATATTGAACTGGCCTGTCTTTCCATCAGGTGTCTGTATTCTAGCCTTAGTGTTCGAGTACCTCTTTCTATTGCTCTCAGTAGATTGAATGGGATACCATAGGCCTTGAGGATCCTCATCAAATGTATTTGGTTTTATTCTATTCTTACTTTGATGTGTGAATGCAGGCCTGGCCGTGAGGATTTTAGCAGGCGAGCGGTACATGGCTCTCCCCGGGAACGTCAGGCGGGCGATTTTTAGTCTCTTGAAAATCGTCAATAAAAGTATATGAATAAACGACAGTCTTTAACAGCTAGGTTTACAAAACAAGATGGCGATTCTCCAACAGAAATAAAATGATAGTTTCGTATAGTCGCAAATCAACAACATTCTCATTAACAAGGTTTGAACAGAATTAAAATTAAATAGCATAGTTTTTTTTATAACATTAGTTACAAACTAGCATTCATTCCAAAACTGGCATTTTGATGTTTAAGTATCTGAAGGCTTGTTATTTCCGAGTTCATTGTCACAGGAACATACACATGTTTTATTAAGCGAAGCTAATAAATTCAGCTAGTAGTGGAAATTTTAAGATTAAGAGATTTTGAGAGCTGACAGTTTCTCACCGGTCCTTAGAAAGCGACTATATCTATCAGTGGGGATCTCCTGTATACTTTTATTAACATTAAAGCCAGTTATAAGAAACCACACCTGTTCATAAATTACTTAAAATTGCGAGGCAATAGAGTTTCGACAAACAAGTGCATGCTTCAGACGAAATAAAGAATGCCTGCAGGATCTCGGGTAATATTTTCCCAGTGCTTGATTTTCTCAACCTTTTGGTGATCTGAGAGCTTAGTTCCCATAAAAGTTTCTTATAAGAGAATACGGGGCAAAGACGACGAAGAAAGTAATATGACACGTATTGTAAGTTTGTCCATGTTATTGTTCGTCAAAATCTGATTCATAAATGGAAGAATCTGGTTCGGAATCAGTGATTTATCGATTTGTTCCACACGTCTCTTCTTGCTTGGCTGCTCTCCCTCCTGTTCTGGCTTGCGAGTTGCACCTTTCTTCGCTTTTCTAAATACATTTCCACAGCATGTGCTATTAGTCCTTATCGCTCCGCTTCTGACCAGACACTCTCATTAGCTTTGGTGATGAGTAGACCTTCCATTGTTTCATGGCTCATACTCAATCGTTAATCATTCAGAAGGAGAGTGGGTAAACTGAAGGCCCTTTCAACACATGTGATTAATTCGATAACAAAGCAAAGATTTGGAAACTCTAGCTTCCTAAAATTTAAAACACGTCGCCATAACATCTTTGGCTTCTTGAAAAGATCTCCAAAACTGCGTCTTGCAAAATTGCGAAATCTCTTCCATTCAACGAATGAGCTCTTTCATTTATGCCTGCCTCTGAAAGAGGTACCATTACTGCCAAAATTACTTGGAACACCCAACACTTTGCGCTGTGCTTTTCAATTTTTCATTTGTTTTCCCCAATACAACTACTTCCGTCCCCCTTTTCCCCCAAAACAATGTTGAAAGTATAGGAAAGTACTCCATCATCAGTACATCATACAAGGCACACGAAAAAACGTACTCCACAACCCCTTCCTTTGTTCTATAGTAAATCAACCATATATGCCACTTTTCATCCTCTCTCCGAATAATGAATGCCAGAAATAGGAACATCCACGTTTTCTCTGTTTCCTGGTTTTCTTCTTCCATGACCTTCTTTAAGGTAAATTCCTAAAACCTGTTTTGTCTCCCACTCTTATTTGAATTTTTCAAGATAGCTGTTGAGCAATTCTTCGTCCCTTCCCGCATTCTCTTCCAGATCGTTCAACTTATCGAATGTTCTTTGGATGGATTCAGCAATTTTGTACGGGATAACAACATTCCCTTCAAATACAAAAAATGATGGACCTGCTGCTTCTAAATTGTCCACATAACTTACAAGTTTGGAGACGAATTCGTATGACTGCAACTGTTTCAGCAAACCTCTGATCTTTGCTTTTGTCTCTGCTCTTCCTGAGCATTCGGCTAAGGTATTTTCAAAAGCAGATATTAAGCCAGGCAACATATCAAGAAAAACTTTCGTCCCTCTACGTCGATGGTTTATGAATCTTGTGGTTTTCTATGCCCAATGCCTTGCAAGCAGCATATACTTCGTTATTCATTTTTCCAGAATTCCACAGTGCGATGCAAACTGACATATATGTTTCATCGCACGCCTTGAAAGGTGACTCTCCAGTCACTGACTTAAAGGCCAGCTCTACGCGATGTTTGCACAGTGAATCTACAGCAGACAGTCTCGATTTTCTACCAACTGCGTCAAAACGCCAGTGTAATGCTGGTATTTACGCTTGCACCATCAGCAGTCGCGGACACCATCTTCACCTCGTACTCTTCTGGTGACAGCGGTCGACTCCTTCTTCACTGAAGGTGCTGTCTATTCCCTTCTTTATAGAGTCAGCATCCACACCACCATAAGTGCTCATTTCCAGGAGGGAAAGGACTAAATAGCATGGTATTCCCTTCCTTTCCACCCTCACCACGATCAGCTCCTTTTCAGAGCCTGTCTTTCTCGCTTGTGACCCATCAGACATCAACGACAACGAAATACTGACTGGCTATAATGGCAGCGCACCTCTCTCGGACAGCATCAGAAATACAATGGACGTACTCCCTTGCAGCTTTGTTGCTGTCTCTGCCCTCAATTTAGACAACCCCATTCTGCTTTTGGCACTTGACGAGGATCTTGAAATGTTTCAAGGGCATAGTTGGATTCATGGCCAGTTCAAACGCAGTCTTCATCATCTTGGTGTATGCTTGTGAAGTGCTTTGTTTCAGGGCAACATCGATTCTTGTCAGCACTAACTGCTCGCTCGGCCATAGAAATGTAAAACAATATAATGTTTCAGCTTTTCAAGCGAGACAGAAAGTTCTCTAAACATGATAATAGTGCATTGAATTCAAACTTCAAGACTTTTTTCACATGTAAACTTTGAAAACCTCTTGTCTAAGCTTTAATCTTCGAACTCAAACTTTCATCTGACACCCGTCACAGTTTCGTCTCTTTTAGGTTCGTCTCTTTTAGGTTCTATTTTATGCTCTCATGATCAGGGTCAGACAAAATATTAAATGAATAGTTCCCATACTCAACGCAATTTTCAAGTTCTGAACAACGGAATAAATCTAAAACATAAGTTTTAGAATCAATTTTCACCTTCGCCTTCCTTGGTAGGGACAATTAATCGCTGTTCTTTTGGCAGACACCTTTCTTCTCCCAAAGCCCATTTGTGTCCTTTTCCTGTGACAATAAGTAGGTAAACCAAGCTCACTTTTAAAATATGTATGAAAAGGAGTACACTTACACAAATGAAATCAAGCTGTCGGTGAAGAAATGAAGCTATCGATGAAGAATTAGCTAAATGAGTGAAAAGGCAACCCTGTCAAATGGCATTTAAATCGGCCTTCGAAATAGCATTCTGGTGGAAATGAAACCAAGAAGTGTCAAGAAACGAAAGAAAGACCAAAACAGGTAGTTAACGTGGGAACTGACATTGAGGAAGCGGTGAATAGCTCGCCTCGTGGAGGCACGCGTGGCGAGCGAGCGTGGAGGCACGCGGTATGGCTGGCTCGCTTCCTTAGCCCAATCTCCAGTGACAAAAAATTAGCGAAATGCGAAAAATTCCGCACGAAATAGGTCATGGACATGCGCAATGAACTTTTGCTGGGATTTCTCGCGAAGAGTCTCTCTGCAAAAAAAGGTTGAAAATGAGTTTAACTTCTTTTGCTATTCGCTTGCGAAATCCTTCAGCAACCAATTATTTTCACTATCCCTTTGTCCCGCTTCCAAACTTTACATTCCAAACTTTACATGTCGTGAGGTCAACAATTGGGCTTTATAATATGTATTCTGTTATTAATTTAATTTGTTTTTCACAGGTACAAATCACTTTGAGAGGATAGATGAAGAATCCAGTGATGCATCTCGAAGAATGGGACACACAGCGACATACAGCGAGGCTTCGTCACAGATTTTTGTGTTTGGTGGCTCAAAGAGCAAAAGGTGGTACAGTGATGTTCATGCTCTTGACTTGAACACAATGAAATGGAGGAAACTAGAGGTTTGCATTTGATTGGAATTGTGGGTATCTTTATTAACTGACCATCAGGATTCTTATTTTAATTGAAGGAATTGTCAAAGAAATTTTGCAAAGCATGGATGTTAAAAAATCTGGATTTGACCCCAAAGGAGTTATTTATCTAAAAATGATCTACAAATTTTTTTTCCAATCTGCCATGCCTTTGATGCATTTTTGGTTTCTTGATGCAAAACAACACTTACTGTCCTTGTCAGAAATAGCTTAATCTCTGAGTTTTCCTTCCATCGAGGCATGTTTTGTAATTATACATCATGATCTGGGGGCGACTACACCGGGGGGGGGGGGCTGGAGGGGAAGCTGCATGATATTATGCAGGATACATCCACCTTTCTATAATGCTATAATACACTAGAAAATTAAAATAAGATGTTGAACCCTATCAATAGGCCATGGTGCCTTCTGAGTGATGACATACACCAAAGGTGTCCACCAAACGACCCACTGTGCCTTTTTCTGTTGCCTTTCTTAATCAATCAATTTTCTAAAATTTTGTCCATGTGCTATGTCTACAGTGTGCAATACCCGCCAAAATGCATTCTAATCACCAGGCATACTTACCCACACCCTTAATTATCTCATGTTGAACATGGACAGCCAAAATTGAGATTGCAGTTTGTAGTGCGTTTGTCAAACTATTCTTCAGAGCGGTGATATTAATCGCAAAGGCTTATTACATTATCTTTATTTTGGTTTTACTTTCATATTTCTCATCCTATTTATCTTGACACATACCATAAATCCCTGATTAAAGGCACCAGTGCTTAATCGATTTTTGAATTTTTTGACTTTGTTTTTATTTGAGAGAAAAACATCATAGAGTGAAATTCTTGAAAATCTGTTATCTCCTAAGAAGATCTGAACTCTATTTTAATGAAACAATGATTTAATCTCTTAAAAAACTTGAACTAGGAAGCTATGAATCTTATGAGGATTTGGCACTTTGATACCTGAGCTGAGTCAATCACTACAATTTTCATTTCAAGACTGAGTGCTTATTCAAGAGGTATATAGAACATTTCTTCAAAAATTTCATGAATGCGGTAGAATACAATAAAATTGAAACAAAAGATGCGGTAGAATACAATGAATCTGGTGCTTGATTTCAGCCCACTGGGAAGCCTCCTGTTAGAGCTTATCATTCTTGTACTTTGGTTTATGACGAGTTGTTGGTGTTCGGTGGTGTCTACCCGAACCCAGATCCAATGCCAGATGGATGCTCCAATGAAGTTTATTTTTTCAACACAGGTACCAACTATCTTTAATCTAATTATTCTTGTCAACTTAACATAACCATTAATAGTATAATATAAATAGATATAAAAGTGTAATAACCAAATGTATGCCTCAATATAGTGACAATCTGATGATGACACATAATAATGTTGTTCTAGGTTTTTGTCTTTTGATCACGTAATCTGCATCAACACCCTAAAATGTCTTTAAATGTGGGAAAATAGTCACATTTGTTACAGGTTGCTGGAGATGTGGCCACATATCAAACTGCTGTGTGTTTCTGAATCTTATGAGCCAAAATAACAGTAATCTGTTAGTAAAAATTATTATTGACTATTGCCCAGAAAATCTTTAACATATTTAGCTTATCTTGCACATGTAGAGGTTAACCATCACGTTCTTTCCGCTCATGCAGTCAGAATTGAAAAATTCGAAACATGTATTAATCTTATTTAGGTTTCATTATAGTCATAATTTTGTCACATTCATATTCTTCTTGTAATATGCTTGGTTTGTAAGATTGGTATGCTTCTAAATAGATGTAATATGTTCTAAATAGTCATCATGATTATGGCACAGTTTGATTTCTTGCAGAAACAAATAGTTGGTACCAACCCATAGTCAGAGGCGAAAAACCAAATGCCCGGTCTGGGTGAGTAAGTCGATGTTTGAATACCCCAGTCAAACTATTTAAGGAGCGAAAGTTGCGATGCTAAGCTGGTTACTTTTACCGGAAGCTAATTCGTCATTAATACTTTGTTATTTATATTCTTCGCATAACTCCTACGTCTCCAAAAGAAAATTTTGGTTTTCTTCTTCAACCAGTGAATGAAATAACTCACCTTCCTGCCATAACACAATACCCCACCTTCTAATACATGACTTCCAAGGACTGATACCCCCACTTTCCAATGCACAATAAGCAATACAAAAATTGTGCCGAAAACTATAATGGCATAGCCCGGTTTCCGTTCCATCTAGCAGTTTTAGAATCCTTCTACATAAAGATGAAAAACTGTTATTGTGTAGAGAGAAAGAGTTCGTTTTCACGCTTCAACTTTATTAGCAATGTTTCCTTTAAACAAACTGCACTACTTAGGCAGCCTTAACAGTCATTTGCTCGCATTTCTGATTGGCCTATTTCGAACCATATATGGGTATACATATACACTTCCTAGCTAAACTCAGAGATTTTGATCTATGTTCTGACGGCTTGTACTCTTAAGATTATCAGAAAGAAAGCTCAAGTATATTTTAGAATGTTTGTTTTTTGAAAGCCTTGTCTATCATCATCTTGTATTTCACAGAATTGCCCACACCAATATAGAATTGGATATTTAGGCATTTCTTTTTTATACCCTAAGTAATAAGAAGTAATGAAAACGTTAATTTTAATCGAAATTTTTAGGCACTCTGCCTGTCTGGTTGACGGATTGCTTTACATATTTGGCGGTTGGGACGCCCCGACCTGCTTTGATGATCTTTGGACCCTTGACATTGGTAAGTCACCTCTTCTTCCTGGTTTCGAGTGGCATGTCAACATTTTTTGGGCTGAAATTCTTGAATGCTAAGGGTGCTGGATTACTTTGCTGCTTATTGGTATTATAACAAGAACCCATTTTTGGGAAAATACTGATATCTTTTTTTAACTTTCACCTGGGTACCTGTAACTTTCATTAAACCTCTTTGACAATTATAGTGAAAATGATTATATTAATTTATTTATGCTATTTTGTATTTTTTTTTCTTTGAATTGTCTGATCTTTGTTTGGTTTATTATTAAACAGGACTTATGAACTTCACGAAATTAGAAGTAGTTGGCAAAGCTCCTTCTTCACGAAGTTGGCATGGAGCAATGCTCACTTCAGATCAGCAAAGTATGCTTGTGTGCGGTGGTTACAATGGGGACCAAGCACTCAGCGATGTTCACGTTTTCAGGATAGGTAAATATACACTTTGCTCTTTTCAATAAAGAGAGTTGATTCTGTTTGGCATTTCGATTAAAGGCACTTTGCTCATTCCTATTGCTTTTACTTAACAATAGACCAATTTCTAATTTCACAATTGGCAACGTAAAACTAATTCTAATTCATCGTGTTCTTGTTCATAAACCCGCCGCTTATTGCCTATCGACCATAAAGCCTATTGTTAAATCACAGCGGTTGACTGACGGGAAAAAACGCCTTTAAATAACGTGGCGAACGTGGTTTTTATTACATGCAACTCCGTGTGTAGTTTCTCCACTTAAAATCACACTGCTGATTACAGTCACATGAAATTTAAGCCCAAAAATAACAGGCCTTGTAATTTGGCGAAAACCCTGGTTCCTTTACAGTGGCATTTCTGCAAACTCATAATGGCAGTAACGATAGAGCCTTTGCATGAATCATGGGTAATAAATACATGTTCAGCATTTTCGATGTTTTCTTCTCGATATTTGAGTTCAATCAACCATGTTCAAATTTTCAAACTTTAACTGGCACCTACGAGCTACATGAAATCGAATTAATTAAAATCTATATTAACCTATAACTAAATCTTACATATCACCAATGATCGGCAACTATTTTTATTCACAAATTTTGGAAGATGGCACGAAATAACGGTAACATAGCATACTGAAATACTTTTCGTCCGGCACTCTTCAGAGTATAAACGTCGGATGCGCTTATGAGACTATCCGATGTTTATACTCAGAAAAGTGTTGGGCGAAAAGTTCTTCAGTATTTCGTGCCAAGTCAAACTTTGCGATACCAAAAACTTTTTTTAGATATCTACCAATTTCCAAAATAGCATCAGTTTGTTTTGTACCTAGCCTGTTTTTAAAACTATTCAATTTAGCTCTGTTTACAGTTACACTCCGCTCACCGACTCAAATTTTCAAGCTACATTGGGTGTGACAATATCATGGATCAATTGCAGTACTGACTCAAATTATGCCAGTGTTTTGCTTTGGCTCGTCTAAAATCTTGTTGGGTTTACGATCGCCTGTCTTTCTATAATTTTATGTTATATCTTGCTATCCTTATTCCAATATCCATCCTCTTTAGTAGAAAAATATCAAAATTATTGTTTGTGCCTTTGTGACATTTGGCTTTGCATTGTATTGCAGCATCTAGGAGCTGGTCCCAATTAGAGACAAACAGTAATATTGCAAGAGCCGGTCATAAATTGTTAAAGCGTAAGAGACATCGCAAAGATGGAAAGGTAGAGGACAGTATTGTGGTTTTTGGTGGCGGAAATAACGAAGGAGACTTTTATAACGATTTATTAGAACTGCCTATGAAGCTGTATGCAGCTTTATGAAGTCAAGGGCTCTTCGATCTCTTGCGAATTATGCACCCGTAGGCTCGTTTTTGTCGCAGTATTTATGAGTTCTGTAAAACAATTTTTGTATCCTGTTTTTTCAATACGATGTTGTTACTGATAGCTAGGTCATACAAACATATTCTAGAAACCTGAAGAAACGCTGTTAATTTCCACTCTTGTTCATCTTAAATAGCACCGGATCGCCTAGCGAAAAGTTGCATTTGATACTGTTTCGAAAAGCTCTCGTGCAAACTGGTGGAACGGTTTCTAAATGAATGGTGATAGGAAAAGCGACCAATAATAGAAGTTGTTACATAGTTATCAATTTTTAGGCATCAAAGTTTATATTTCTACACTATACGCCTCTGCAGTCACAAAATTGAACCTATCCCATGTAGAAGTGTGCTTGACGAATTATTTTGGTGCTGGTTCGAGGCGATTTAAACGAAACCGTTCCAAAATATCTGATGTTATCACAGCCTTAGAGAGTCAAAGAGTGAAAACAAAACCTTTCTGTCTAACTTTGTAGAGATCTTTTGCCTTCATGAAGTAGACGGAAACCAAAATATCTAAATAAAAATTTTCCAAAATTATTTTAAAAATGTCGCTACTACACCTGTTTATAAGATTACAGTCTATAAGAATATTAAGGCTGAAAATCACTTAAATTTAAGAACAATTTTAAAATTATGCTTCATTAGGACTCTTTCATTCATTTAGGCTTTTTAGAAAAAAACTTGTTGCATTTCACGCTCTATGTTTTGAAATACACTTAAGGATGACGAATTTTGTGACCAACGAATCAAAGCTTTTTACGAAAATGAGTGGTTTACATGAGAAGTGAATACTTTTTATGTACGAAGAATGAGTACATATAGGAGTGGGGGATCCTGTAAGTAAGTAACTAACTAACTAACTAACTAACTAACTAACTAACTAACTAACTAACTAACTAACTAACTAACTAGCGAAGTGACACGGTTTCTGTAATAGAATGCTACGCGAAGAATTCCCATTTTCCTCTAATTAGTGTCCCGCTTTCTATTGCTTGCGGCTACGAAATGATGTTGACTCAACGTCATCAGCAAGTCGATTTTGCAAATTTTTATTTTGGCCTTGCCAAAAGAGAAGTTAGCACAGTTTCAAAGGAAGGTGCAGCACACAATTCAGCGATTGTGCAATCGTACAATGGAAGAAATGACAATTGCGGGAATTAAGGTTTTCTATTCGATAAAATTTCAAATTATTGACAAAGCTCTTTGATACCACTGAAACAATCTCCACGAAGAATTCGGAGAGGTACCATGTTTTGCTAGATGTCATATTTTTAGGAGAGCGTTCCCTGACCATAGGCGACCCGTGATTCATTGATGCAGTCCAAAATCTCCTCGACGTATATGACACGTATGAGGTTAATCGGATTATCCGAACCAGATTTTCACATTCGCGCTCTTCAAGTTTGCGATATTTCAGCATAATCACAAACCATTGTGAATGAATGCAAATGGTTATGAACCAGCATTGATCATCATGAAGCAGTGTTAATCATCGTGAATCATTGTGAGTGATCGAGAATCATCATCAGTCATAATAAATCTGCGAAGTTCATCGTGAATTGGCTCAAATGATCATGAATCATTGCAAATCGCTGTAAATCGGCATGCCGTAAAAGCTCTAATAAGCCCCCTCCCCCACTCTATCAAGCCCTCTCTCCATCAAGCCCTATAACCATGCCAAATTTTATAAAAAGCCCCCCTCTCTATTAAGACCCCCACTTTAGCCTCTGATGTCAAACAAAGAAAACATGCACATCTAGTGGTTCTCTTGACGGCTGTGATGATGATAAGACCACGTGCATTAAATATGGGCCCGTGTAAAGGTTTTATTGTGCGCCTTAGAAGTCAAGAGGATGCTGATGTTGATTCTTTCAAAGAAATCCCATGGCTTTGTGGCCATCAAAATAGGCATGAAATATCGCGAAGCATTTTAGTGCGTTTTTCAAAGATGGTGCTTTAAGCCTGATTTACACGAGACGAATTTTTTCGTGCGAAGCGAATTTTTCGCCGCGAATGCGCGAAAAATATGCGCAGAAGTGGAGATTAGAAAATTCGCAGCGAATTCGCAGCGAATTCGCAGCGAATAATTCGCTGCGAAAAAGTAGAAACCATTCCTACTTTTTCGCTGCGAATTTTTTCGCCATGTAAAATAAACCAATCAGAACAGCAATTGAAGACATCTGACACGAACCCAAAGGAAGGGCTAGGCCGAATGGTGCTACGCAATGTAAACATATCTAAATCAAAAGTATGCAAAACGACAGAAAACTACGAAATGGTTGAAGACCTATGACAAACAACAACATGGGTGAAGAATGAGTAACCTATGACAAGGCCTAAACAATGCTGGGAAAATCCCGCACCTATAACATAAACAATGGAATGGGACGTTTCTAGCAACAGGCGTCTTTGGTGCAATAAACGATAAAAGCTCCTCATATGTAGTTGGCGACATTCGAAAGTAATTATTCCTGACAATGTAAGCGTAAGTCACTTACCAAAAGATGAAACTCCCCCTTCTGCAGACGTTCTGAATAAATTTTCCGAACCAAGTACCCATTTATTTGCTTTTTTGCTCACTTTTTTTCAATAACAACAATCTTCGAACAGACGCCATTTTCTTTGGCATTATTCGCGGCGAATTCGCAAAAGAAATTCTGCCAGTGGAAATTAAACTTTGAATTCGCAGCGAATTCGCAGGAGAAGAATTCGTGGCGAAAAATTCGCTTCGCGCGAAAAATTCGTCTCGTGTAAATCAGGCTTTAGTCTAATAATCCTATCAACTAGAGCCCCCCCCCCCCATCACTTTGAATTTCTTGGCGCCGCCCCGGCACCGTCAATGACAATCTCAACGAGAGTAATTTCTCACCGAGACCCTATATTCTGATAATTTTTCTTTATGAATATCCTCATAAAAAAGCCCAATCCTTCTTGCTACCGGATCATAAGTGTACTTGAAACCATTGATGTTCAACGCAGTCTTATATCTTCTTGGGTATTGATTAGGTTTTTGAGTACCATAAATGACGAAGTAAGTGCACATTTGATCAAAATTGCTCTTGTTTGTTTGTGCAGTTGAAGAATGCACAGAATTTAGGTTACATTAAAGTTGCAAACTTTCGGGCGATCAAAATTTCGAGCAGAATTTGGTCCGAAACTTTAATTGTCCGAATCCTAAAAGCGTCCGAAAAGTGTTAGAGAAAACAGAAAAGTGGAAGAAAACAGAAAAGACAAAGAAATACATTGGGTAGTACTCGTCGCTTTTCTTAATAACGTAATAAAGTGAAATAAATATATGGTGCAAATAAAGTCAGTCATGATCATACCATATCTGGCTTTTATTCTCCATGAAGACGTTCTGGATCGCAATCATGGCCTTCATCTTCAACCAACACCAGTAGATTATTCTGACCCTCCGATCATCGACTTATTGGTCATGTCCCCTACGACTTTCTTAGTATGCTTCTTTTTCCATGCGGTGTGTAAGGACTGTGATGGATTTTTTATGAAACTTATGAATGCTGAACTTTCTACGTGTTTCACTTGTTACTTTTTATTTGCTACGTGATTCAAAGTTTTGGGTCCCGTGACAAATCTTAGTTGACCTTGTTTTCGAAATGATTTTGGGTGAGTTACAAAAAGTTGTTGGCCTTCCTTCAAACCTGCAATTTATGGCCTCAATCTCCCTCATTTTAACAGATTGATAAAGACGTGATGAGAGCAGCTGGACAGTGTTCTAAACCAGACAAAAACATTTAATTTAATATAAGGTCTTCTTGCGTCGCTTTTCTACTTTACCCACAAGTTTTATCGCAGCATTAGGCCTCTTTCCAAGTTTTTCGAGAATCAATTGTCCTGACACATCAATATTTCCCTTCTTTCATTGTGCAATTGTGATATAATTTTGCACAATTGAAACAACAAGAACAAAAACGCAAACTTTTGTTTTATCAACAAAGTCAACAAAGCCTATAAATCAAGTTTGTAGGTTTTTAGGGTTTTTCCATCCCTGGATTTTGGTAAATATACACTACAAATGAGTCTAAGTAGTTAGATTTTCTAAGGAAATGACATCATATAACGTCCACCTAAAAATCATTTTAACGGTTGTAGAATAGGACATGTAAGATAGAAAACTTCCAAGCGTTAGACCATTCGATTCGTGAGAAAAGATTTTGATTTAATCACATTTTGACAACGTTAGCATTTTTGTACTACGATTACAATGCTAGTTTTCCTTGTTGCTTTCAGTTTTCTTTATTTGTTAAGTTTTTCTATTGCACCTACAAAGTTGTTAAAATTCTTTGAGTGATAAATGCAAAATTACTGTTGGTTTTAGCATAAATTTTGCGTCAAGCAAAAAGTGTTTGTCCGACAGTTTTTGTCCGCAATTGTCGAAAATGCGTCCGAAACCTCTCCGTTCGTCGATGTAAATAAGTTTATGAATGCCAGACAAGGAAGTCACCCGACGCAGTGAAAAATAGAAATACCCGGCGCCTTCCTTAGGCCAAGGTTATTCCCCTCTGCATAACGAATGAAAGGTCGCGAATTGGCTGGGCCTCCCCTTATGTCTTGAGCGTTTTTCCCTTGGCGTAAGTACAGGCCTAATAAGTTACGTTGGAGATTTCTACTAAAAACATATGTAGGGATTTTTGGACAGAAAACAATACACTTATTTTTTATAAGAGTACTATAAATTTTGTCTAGCCTCGATAGTCAGAAGAAAATTTCGTTTTAAGCCTGAATATACATTCTTATAAACATTCATTAATTATATACATAAAGTCTGAATATACATTCATTTAAGTCTGTATCCTTAAGTATTCTTATTTTTTCAAATCTGATATGGTTTCAAGGGAACATTGCCCGCATTTGAAACGAAACCACGCTTTTTGAATAAAGATATGTCAGTCATGCAATTCTCTGTTTTGGACATCGCAAAACAGGCAATTGCTGAAAAATGGGAGACAAAAATGGGAGCTGAGGCTGAGCAATATTCTTAAAATTTGAATAGAAATAAGAAAAATTGTGATTAAAACATTCAATGAAGTTTTGAAGGGAAGT